CCGAGGTGGCGCTGCTCATCCGGGACTTGGCGCGGTCAGGTTATCCCTTCCGACGCCTGCTGCACGCCTGCTCGGAGATGTGTCGCCTGCACCCTACTGCCTACTGGCATGCCCGTCGCGCTGGCAATCGGCCGCTGGAGTTCCGCATCCACGACCGGGTGTACGCCCTCCCCCGCTAGCTGGGAGCGGGGAGGGGGCCTTCCTTTGGGGTCCGTCAACGTGTCTACAGCCAACGTGTCGACCTGTCAACGTGCCTACCTGTCAACGTGTCTACCTGTCAACGTGTCTACCTGTCAACGTGTCTACCTGTCAACGTGTCTACCCGTCAACGTGTCTACCTGTCAACGTGTCTACCCGTCAACGTGTCTACCCGTCAAGATGTCAACCGACTACGTGTCATCGCGTCTGTGCGCCATGCGCAGGGCTCTGGGCTCCCTACTCCTTTCCCTTGGGGCCCTTTCTCTGATACTGCCTGTCCCCCTTGGTGCACTTGCATTCATGCTGTCTTGCTCCCCTTTGTCGCATGCTCCTTGCTTGCTTGCCCCCTCGTTGCCTGGCTTACAACCCCTGGTGCCCATATGCGTCGTGGCACTCGGGGTCTGGTGCTGTGGGGAGCTCTTCGTGAGCCAGCACACCAGTCCACCTCCTTTTACCCCCCTTTGTTTGCGCCGGTTCTTTGCTCCGGATCCCCCTTGTTTGTACTGCATGTCGTACATCATTCCATGTCCCACTTTTCATCACACGCACCCTTGCATTCCAGTCATTAGTTTAATAGGTAGCTTCCGGCCGCGCTCACGTGTGTCCCTGTTTTTCCATTTGCCCTCGCATGTCCTTCCGACAACATTCTTCGGTACTGACTACTGGTGTGTTCGCTGCTGGCTGCTGGTTCTCCCTGCCTTGCAGGTCAGTCTACGGTAATATTCGCATACGCACATAGTGGTCCTGCACTTGTTTTTCCTGTCCTGCTTTGCTCGAGCATGCACTGCGACGTCTTGGCATCACCCCTGCTTTTACCCCTGTTCAGCGACAGCTACAGCTTCTCTACATCCAGTTTACACACAACAGTGACGGTTACTTATACCTACCTACTTACTACTCCAGTCCTTAGGTCCGGTCGCGTTACGACATTGCTATTACTGCTTTACACTTTACGACATTGCTATTACTGCTTTACACTGATTCCGATCCTACTCGATAGCTCTATTACAACATAGCCAACGGACTTCACTTCACCTGTGGCGTTTTCGGTGGGAGGACTCCATCTTTCGGCAATCACAGTACGTTTCGCCTCGCGGCCAGTTATTTTAACACACACGGCCAGTTATTTTAACACACACGGCCACACCCGATAATCCCCCCAATCTCTCCCCCTTTCCCCCTTGTTTGCCATCATCATTTAACAGCTTGGGATTCTTCTTTCCCCACCTCCTCAATGAAGCTCCATCTGTCGGGTGCCACCACGCAGTGAGCGGCTGTGAGCACGTGGCGGGGGCCCACCAGAGTGCCCGTGCACTGGGACACAGAGCTGGGGGGAGGGGGGGAGAGGGGGGAGGGGGGGAGTGAAATAAAGAGGAAACGACTAGAGGGGGAGGGGGGGAGAAGAAGACCATGCTATTAACAAAAGTGGCAAGTGCACCCCCGTGGAGCTGGAAGAAGGGGGGTCAGTAAGGGTGCGATGAGCGGCACATACACACATGTTTTCCCCGTCCTCGGATCGCGGCTCAGTTGGGTTAACTTCCCCGCGCCCCGCCGACCCACGGGTCATTACACTCACGCGCTCAGCAGTTTCCGTTGCTCCTGCGCCAGCAGCCCCACCGCCGCGAAGGGCGGGTGAGAGGTGTCGTACACCCTCTCGCGGGCGTCGTACGGCGGACATCCCTCGCAGGCGAGCCGGGGGTTGAACGTCACGTTGGCGGCGTCTTGAGGGGGGAGCAGGGGAGGAGCGCGGGGGGGGGGAGGGAGCAGGGGAGGAGCGCGGGGTTAGGAACACCACAACGCACTGTTGCTGCGGAGAGGCCAGCAGCAGGCCACCCGTCAGTTCTACAAGTCGCTGACCACCCCATTTCACTGCCCCTGCCCCAATCATTCCCATTTTTCCCGGCCTACCACCAGTTACCGGTATCACTTCCCACCCCCCCCCAGCTCCCCCCCCCCCCTGCCGCAGTCCCCTCCAGCCCCTCCCCCCCTCCCCCCCCCCACGCACCCACAGAGGAGTCCTGCTGCGGGGCATCCTGCTGGGTCAGGGCGCGACGGGGACCCTCGCCTCTGCCTCGGTCCCTGTCCCTGTCCCTGTCTCTACCCCTGACGCCACCATCTTCCCTAGCGGATTCCTGCCGAGCGGACGTGGCGGCGGCAGGGCGACTGGCCGCAGCCGCAGCTGCTGCCTCCTCGTGCCTGATCGCAGCCAGATGGCAGCGGGAAGGAAACAGCGGTGTCAAGTTGGAGGGTCACGGGCTTGCATGGCGGCACTTCCACCACCCGTACATAACGCTAAAAGGCAGCTGCCAGCAACCGCTCAACGGACAATGGCGGGAACACGGACGCACTACTGCACCACCCATCGCTCCGCACAATCCTTCTCTTATTGCCCCTCCGGCTCATCTGCTCGAGAAATCTCCTCTCGCCCTCATGCCAGCAGGCCCCTCCTAGTGCCTACTCCGCCGCCGCCCCCCCCCCCCCGCCGCACACCCCACCTGCGCACAAAGGTCCCCCGCTTCCGAACGAACATGACGGTGTTGTGTGGGGACACGTCAGCCACCGCCGTGTCCACCGCGACCCATGGGTCACTCCGGCCGCCTCCGCCTCCTCTCCCACCGCCGCCATTACCCTCACTCGCCCCGCTGCCCACCGCGCTTCCTCGACCCCGTCGCCCAAGCACCGGACCTGTCGGAGCCGCAGCAGGCGCTGCTGACGCCGACGTAACCTCATCTTCCCGACGCTTCATCCCGCCACATGAGGGCCCTATGCGCCGCCACCATTGCCACCAGGGCGGCCGAGGCAGCGGGGTCACAGATGCTGCTGCTGCGGGTGCAGCAGTTGCGGGTGTGGTGTCGCTCTCATCGCAGCTGTGGGTGCTGCTGCTGCTGCCGCCATCGCACCAGCGCTCGTAGCCGGCAGGCATGACCCATGGGTCGGCGAGAGCTGGGTCGTAAGGTAGGACAACCCCGTTTGCGCCCACGCGGACGTGGGAGGTGGGGGATGAGAGGTAGGCGCCGCCCTGCTGCGACTGTTGCAGAGGCGGCGGTGTCAGCAGGAGCGTGCCTGCTGCATGCGGGGTGGGTGGGGGGGGGGGACCGGTGGTGTAGGGATGTGGCTGTTGGTGTAGGGACGTGGGTGGTTGATAGCTGGTAGAAGAGCACATGTGGAGGTCTACTACTGCCTTCCTTCCCTTGCATTTTGCCGTGCGTGTAAGCATCATGCATGGCACATGCATGCAGCCACAGCAGCACCCCATGTACAAGAGCTCTTCCCGCCTACATTACCACCCCAATGCCAGGGCAGCCCCGGCCCTAACACCAGCAGCACCCATAACTGCAGCCCCAGCAGCAGCAGCAGCAGCAGCAGCAGCCCAATGCCCGAATGCCCACGGCCCTGCACCCCGCCCCCCGGGATCCCCGCCACCCACCATCCCCCCCGTAGTAGCCCCCACGGCCGCTGCGCACAGCTGCTGAGCTCAACAGGGTTGGAGAACAACCCAACAGGAGGAGGAGGAACACCGCCGCGAGGTGGGTCGCGGTCATGGCAGCCGTCGTCGTCAGGACCGAGGGTGGTGAACGAGGCGGATGATAGCGAGGATACCGCAGCAGCGCTTTGCTCGCGCGCGCTTGGTGTACACCGGTATAGGAGTGGGAGGGGTTGTAATGAATGACCTGAGTGCGCAGCTGTCACGCAGGTGGTGTCCTCGCACAGCGGGTTTGCAATGATGGCGTCGGGGCGCGCGCGTATGATACTTGTATGGGGCTGGGTCGGCTACAGCATAAGGCGACTTCTCAAGGCACGGCGACTTATCGCGGCTAAGAATAGCTGGGAGAACCTAACAAAGCCGAGTGGATGAACCGTGGGTCGCAAGGTGCGGTGTATACCAGGACGCGAGGCAGAGGCGCGAGAAGCCCCTTTTCGCTCGCTATACGAGTGCCCCAGTGCCAGATTCTTGTCAATTATAACCCTATATGGATTGTGTATGCATAGGCGCCGCAAACCTTAAACCTTCTAACATAGGCTTGCTATTATCTAGTACGATTGTGCAGCTGCTTTCTCCTCCTCGGCCGGAATCTAGGTAGAAGGCGGCAGGCCTCACAACTACGTACAGTACCTTCGAGCCCCATAACTTCGCACACACACATCGTCCACCTTGCTTGCGATCCTTTTTGTACACGGGTGCTTTGCGAAGAAGAAGAAGAACAACAACAGCTGTAAGAATGCTTTTATAAGTAGTCGAGGGCTAGCTGCGGGCCACGTCAGCTCTATTTCCGTTTTTGCGCGCCGCCAGACATACAGTGCTTATATAACTGGCACAACACACCGGTATATATCCTCTGCGGCGATGACTGCCGAGCTGGTGACGAAGGCGCATCACGCATGCTGAAGGCAAGAGGGTTTACCCTTCCTGCTGGGAGGTCAGCATAAGGCCTCTTCCCATCCGTCCGATCAGTCCTTCAGCTGTCAGCAGGTGCGCGGGTCCCTCCGACCTTCGCGGCCTCCCTCGCCAACAACGCAACAGTCTCTCACTCGGCTACCAAAACAACAAGCCATGTGAGGCCCCGGAACAACCCCGTCAGTCACTCGCATCCCCCCACACCCCAGCGATACCTCCCCACCCGCTCCCGCCAGCCCCCAACACCGCCCGTCCCGCTAGTAAATCACTCCCAACCCACCCACAGCCCTCTACCCCTTAAAGTCCCCCATTTCATTCTGATGATCGAATACTATTAATAAATGATCCCCATTAGTAATCCCCATCCCCGCATTGCGAAGTACCCACCCCCTCTATACCCCCGCATGTGCTCCTCCCCAGCCAGCCAGCCCCAGCTACGTCCCCCGAAGCACCAGTTTGCCGCAGGGCCGGGGGTTGGTGTGCCCGTACAGCGCCGTCAGCTCCCCGCCCACAACCGTCGCAATCACCTTGCCGTACAACACGGCGTCCGTGTACGGCGAGAGCTTGTGGGTGTGCAGGTTGAGGGCGACGGAGGTGTTGGTGCGCACCTCGGGCTCCCACACCTGGGGTGGCGCGGGGGAGGGGCGCGGGGAGAGGGGGAGGGAGGAGGGAATCGAGCACTCTTCCACCGCCAAAACTCCACAGCCATGTCCTCTCCTTGTCCCCCTTGCATGCCACTCCACTCTCCGCTATACTGCACTCCCACCTGGCCTACTACCGCCCTCTCACCCCTCCCCTCCTCCTCCGCGGCCCCCCTCTCCCCATTGCTTTGCCCCAACCCGTGGTTTCCTATGGTTCGGTGCATGGTCTTTTGACCCCCCCCCCCCTCACCACAATGTCCGCATCGAACCCCGCCTCCAGCCGCCCCTTGCGCCCCGCCAGCCCCGCCAGAGCTGCGGGCGCCTCGCTGAGCAGCTGAGTCAGCCGCAGCAGCTGGGACTCGCTGGCGGCGGCGGTGGGGGGGCTGCCTGCTTGCGGTGGTGGGTGGGGGGCGGAGGGGCGGAGGGAGGGGTCAGACAGAAACCAGAGAAGCCAGACCAAGTGAGTGAGTGAGGGCCGCCGCCTTGTGTCAAGAAGCTGGCGGGGCGGTCTGTGGTGAGGCGGGCACCCGTGCGGCACACGAGAGCGAGCGAGCGAGCAGGTGATCCATGCCTGCCTCATCCTCCTGCTCCTAAACCAGGTGCCCATGCCAACACACTCCCTTCCCCCCCCACCCCCTCCCGCCCACACACCCTCCCGCAGCGCGCTCCAGGTGGCGGGCAGCAGGTACTGCCCCCCGCTGATGCCGCCCCAGGCTGTCAGGAAGTCCCCACTCTCCGTCGCCTTCATATCGGGCGGCGCGGGCGAGTGGTCGGAGGACACCAGGTCGATGCGCCCCTCCGCCACCGCCCGCCGCAGGGCCGCCCGGTTGGCGGCGCCGCGCAGTGGGGGGGCGCACTTGAAGTGCGTGGCGCCGCGGGGGACGTCCTCGGAGGCGAAGGTGAGGTAGTGCGCGCAGGTTTCCACGGTGATGGGGTGGCGCTGGCGGGCAGCCTGGAGGGGGGAGAGGAAGGAGGAGGAGGCGATTAGAAAGGCTGTGCCGGGATAACGCCAACCCTGGCCGCAGTTTATCGGAGGTTGCTTGAGGGAAGGAGGGGGGAGGAAGGAAGGTGGTACGGCAGCATGGTGTGTGTTTAGACAGCTGTGAAGGGTACCGGTGGTGCCCCTAACCCTTCCTCCATCCAATCCTCCACACTACTGTATACCATGTCCATTCTGCAGGCAACTTGACGCCGTACACGCCTTCAAAACCTGCAGCCATTTCCAGGCCCCACCTGAATATCCTCCAGCGCCCCCGCATCCCCCAGGTGCGCGATGTGCAGTCGGAAGCCGGGGGCGGCCGGGGTGGCGTCCGAGTCCAGCAGCCGTACGAGCAGCTGTACGGCAGATCGCTCGAAGGAGGGGGGGCGGGTGGCTAGGTAGGTGTCGTACAGGGTGGGGTCGGCGGCCTGCGGGGGGGGGCGGTGGTGGGTGTGGGTGCGTGCGTGCAGGCGTGTGTTAAAATAACTGGCCGCGAGTAGGAACATACTGGGATGTCGGAAGATGAAGTCCCCACAGAACCGCCGCAGGAGCCGAGGAATAGGGTAGCGTATGTACATATAGAAGTCCAATACTGGTGCTGAGAGGCGTGTGTGTGTATGGTGGGGATTGAGGAGCGGTCGGGAGGGGAGGCCCTCGTAAAGTGCCCCCCCCAAAGCCAGGACAACCGGGGAAGGGGTTCGGAGAAGAGGTGACCATCATGATGCCATATGTTCTCCGCCACCCCCTCCCATCCCCTCTCCACTCCTCCCTCCACCGACCCACCGGGTCACTCTTCTGCTGCTGCTCCTCGCCCCCCTCCTCCACCAGCTCTGCATGTACGAACAGCGGCACGCCGGCTCGCTTGATGTACGGCAGCGCCGCCGCCAGCTCCGCCTCCCCCACGTGCGGGAAGTCTCGGATGCCGGAGGGGCACATGAAGGCCTTGAAGCCCGCCGCGCCGCCCGCCTGCAGGGCCGCCAACTGGGAGTGGTTGGCGGCGTTTGCGGGCACCAGACCCGCCCAGAAGCCCAGGTGGGTGAAGGACTTGGCCTGGGGGGGGGTGAGGGAGGGGGTGAGAGGGACGGGGTTGAGAGACAGGGAGGGAGAGGGGGGATGGTTGGGTAGAGGGAGGCATCCTGCCCGATGTATGAAGACCGATGGGCGGACTGTGGGGCTCTAGGGGTGACCCTTTTAGGGGGCAGCTAGCAGGCCGCCGCTGCTGCACCGGGAAGGGTGCTGCTGCCCTCATGCCCCCCCTCCCTCTTCCCCTCTTCCCCTCTTCCGCCTGCGCCCCTCTCCCTGCTCCAGCCGCCTCGCACCCGCCCCCACCCGCCATCACCTGCTGGCTGCGATGACAACCCTCTTCTCCCTCCCACCCCCCCTCCCTCCCTCCTTCACCGCCCCCCTCCCTACCGTGGCCCTGGTCTTCTTCGCCTCCAGCTGCTGCGGGGTGGTGGTGGCGGGGGCGCTGTTGAGCGGCATGTCAACCAGCGTGGTCACACCGCCCGAGGCGGCAGCGCGGGTGCCGTTGAAGATGCCTGGAGGCGGGGGGAGAGAGGAAGGGTTGGGGGGTGGGTGAGGTAGGTGGAGGGGGGGAAAGGGGAGCTGGGTGGGGTGGCGTGTGTTGATGGATTATGGGGTTTGTGGAGGGAATGGTGTGGGAGGAGGAAGGAAGGGCAGTGGTGTGTGGATGGGAAGGCGTGCGCGTCACTTTTAGACGGTTTTAGTCCGGTTTAGACGGTCCACGTTTGGCTCCTCCGCATTTCCTCCGCACTCAGCGCCGATGCTACCCGGACACCGCACCCAGGGCCGATGCTACCCGGTAGCTGGGAAAGCAGCTCTCACCACTCCGCACCCCACCCAGCCCACCCCACCCAGCCCAGCGACTCACCCTCCCACTCCTCCCTGCCGGGCTCGTTAAGGTGGCAGTGCACGTCGATGACCCCGGGCGAGATGACCGCGTCACGGAAGTTCATCACGTGCGGCAGGTCCACGGACACGTTCTCCGAAACCGCCACGATCCGGGATCCCTCGATGTAGACTGGGCAGCGGGGGGAGGGCGTGGGGTGGCGGGAAGCATGGGACAGCACGGAGGGTTGGGTAAAGGGAAGGGGCAGGGAGAGGGGGTGTTAAAGGGGTTTAGCGGGCTAGTGCGGAAGGGACATGAGGAGAGAGGAGGGTGAGGAGAGGGAACAGAGAAGAATGGCGGAAGAGTGCATGGGAGCGGGATAAGGGAGGGGTGGTGTGGGGCAAGGTGCGAAGGTGTGTACGACATCGGTGTACGACAGCTGTAAGGCTACGACCGCTGTCGTATAACGGGGTTTGCAGAGGGAGGCAAGAGGTGTTTTTACTTACCGGCGCCGGGTCTCACACCGTCCGGGAAAACCACGCGCTCGCTGATCAGGACGTATGAGGGCCATTTAAGCGCGCCGCAGCGATCGGGGCTTTTTGGAGGTAAGACCTTGTGGTATAACTCAAGCACCCGCGATTCCAGCATTTGCACTTGAGGATGGTCATGGAATCGCTGGTATCTACAGGAAAATTTCAATGTTACGGTGTGGTTTAGTTTTGGAGCGGAATTGCGGGCCCTAATGGACCACGTGGCTGGCTGTTTTGTACTCACAGTACGCCAGCCGCAATTGCATTTAACAACACCATCATGCCGAGCGCGGTTCGGTCCACCATGGTTGGTGCTTGCAGCACGTTGGCTGCTGCCAAGGGTTTGTAATGCTGCTGATGCTCGAAGAGCGGGCTTTGAGCTGTTACGCGCAGTGACACTAGTGGAGATGCCCTATTGATGGCACGAATCTACGGCCTTAACTGCGTATTGAGACCGTTCATTTCCAGCCTGACAGTGATCCCAGAACACGAGTACGGAGCTGGGTACTACTCCAGGATAGTCACCCTTCTGGAGACAAGGGCATTCCGAGTTTCTTTTATCTTCTTTCACCACAGGCAATTGCGCACACGATTTGCGCACCATTCAAAACAAGTGTTCAAGCGACCCTATTGTTACCCTGACTGGCAACATTCTCCTGCGCGCTCTCTTCAAGAAATAGACTGAGATATTGTCTGTAAGGCTTCTTGTTTCAGCTGTATTCCTGCAATGGGACTGCGGTTGGCAAGAGAAAGGTCGACCTGTTAAAGATTGCCAACTCCTCGCCTTAAGCTACGTACTTTTGGTAAGGGTGTATCTTCCGGGAGCATGCCTAGCCATGCAAAATCTGGCGAAGGTGGAGCGGTCAAGTCCTTCCTCTCCCTGCTGAGGTCAGTGCCTAGTTCCGCACCTACTTGTGCTAAGGCGACGGATTGCTCTTAAGTAGGTTTTGTTATGCACTGCGCAGCAAATTCGGGAAGAAAAAGAAGCCCAAGGAGGGGAAAGCTGCCGCGGGAGTAGCCCCCGTTGGAGCAAATGAGAATCCGCCCAAAGCAGTTACTCCATCGGAACCCGGCGATGCTCTTCCAGCGCCAGCTGTGGAGTTCGCTGCCCCAGATACATCATTTGCAACAAGCGCAAACCATATAGCCTCAAATAAGGTACTGGACCCTGTAGGCGAGGCCTCAGCAGCCGATGCACAGCAGGCGGAATCCTCGCAACAACTGGCTGTCGCCCACGACAAGCTTCTTGCCGCGCTCGAGTCCGCGCAAAACACGGTAAGTACGCCTTTTACACGGCAACTCGGCCTGCTATACTCCCTACCCATGGGTGGTCCACCACCTCCAACTGCACCCGCAATCCGGTCATGCAACGGCTGCAAACCTCCAATCCTGTATCCCCGGAAGTTTTAGCCCAATCCCACCCACCATGTATGACTATAACCCCCCTCGTCCTCATATCCCCCTCATATCCCCCCCTATCTCATCCTACCTCTTCCTGCCTCATTCCATCCTGTCCTTCCGCCTCACCTCCCGCCCTCACCTTCCCCGTTCCACTCTCCCGCTCCCCCCACACAGGAGACCCTGCCCCGCACCTCCCGAGCTGCCTACAACGCAGCCGATCTCTCCGGCGTCCTCTTCGCCCACCGCACCACCCAGTCCGGCGCCGGCGGCCTCGTGCTGCCCGCCCGAGTGGCGGAGGGCGCCGCCTCGGGCATCAACTCCGGCGACACGCAGCAAACCCAATCCCAACTGAACCGCATTCTGGAACGCGATGGCGTACGGAATTCGTACATTCCGTACGGCACCACCACCGTGGGTCCGCAGCTGCTGAACAGCATGGCCAACACGCAGAACACGGGGCTGACGCAGGAGAGCAACACCATTTGTACGGTAACCAACAACCTGCTGCAGGACATGTTGTACGCGGATTACGAGGCGCTGGAGCGGCTGCAGTCCAGGCAGCGCGGCTCCTCCTCGGGTGCCAACGCGCTGGGGGGTGCTGCTGCTATCGGTGGCGGCGCCTCGGCGTCTGCGTCGGCGAATGCTTCGGGAGCAGCTGCACGGCGGGACATGCGTGCGCCGCTGGTGGCGCAGCAGCAGGGGCAAGGGGCGATGCATCAGGGGGTGCAGGGGTTGATGGTGGCGAGGACTGCAGGGGCGCAGCAGTTGCCGGCCCAGGAGGCTGCGACTGGGGGTGGGGGCCAACAGCAGCAGCAGCAGCAGCCGCATGACCCGCGGCAGCAGGCAGGAGGGCAACAGCAGGAATACGGGCTTGGGGTGCAGCAGCCGGAGCAGGCGGCACCAGCGGCGGTTCCGAGCAGCGCAACCGGCCCCGCACAAGAACAAGAACAACAACAACACCAGCTGAAGGCTATTCAGCAGCAAAGTCCCTCAGCACCCTCCCCGCAGCAGCAACAGCAGCAACAGCAGCCGAAGTTAGCCACGATACAGCCCACAACGGCTGAGCCCCAGCCACCGCCCCTGACCACCACCGCAGTGATGAGTCCACCAGCCCCCGCCACCCGCACCTCCGACCGACTACCTCCCATCCGTGCCAGCCCCGAAGTCAGGCCAGCAGCACCACCAGCAGCAGCGCCTGCCCCTGCAGCAACAGCAGCCACCACCGCTGCCACCAGCCCCCTGCCCACACCACCCCGCAAAACCTCCGTCGCCGCCTTTGCCGCCTCGGTGTACGGCGCTCCCGGCGACCCGGAGCCCGTGCCTCTGAGCCGGCCGCTGCGGCTGACCACCGCCTGCCTGGGCGCGCACACCACGCTGTGCGAGAGCGCCGCCGACCAGAGCTTCCACCGGCTGCTGCAGCGCAAGATGCAGACGGTGTACAAGTGGCTGCACGCCTCCGACCTCACCGCGCCGCCCGACCCGCGGCTGGAGGTGCCGCTGGCGGAGCTGGAGGTGGAGCAGCAGCAGCAGCAGACCGCCTCCTCCTCCTCGCCGCGGTCGCCTGGAGGAGGGGCAGGAGCGGAGGCGGCGGGGCGGGATGCTGAGGCGGCAGGAGGGGCGGCGGCTCGGGCGCAGCAGCCGCATGGGGTCGCGGAGGGGACAAGGGTGGTGGGGGTGACAGGTCGGGCGGAGGCAGGGGCGGGAGCGGCAGCGGATGCAGAGGGGCAACGTGCGGGCCCTGGCAGCCCCGCAGCCCTGGAGCAGTCTCGCCAGCAGCAGCAGCAGCAGCAGCAGCCGGCCCCAGCTGTGAGGCAACCCCAGCAGGAGGTGGGGTTGACGTCTGCCGCGCATACCTCCGCGCAGCCACACCACCCCCACCGGGGTCTCTCGCCGGCAGCGGCGGCAGCCTCCCCTGGCGCCGGCCTTGCATGGCAGCAGAAGGCGCAGCTGCCACACGAGCAGCAGCAGCAACAGCAGCTCCCGCCGCGGCTGCAACACCACCGCGGCCTGGTAGAAGGGGAGGTGCTGGACAGTAGTGCTGCTGGTGCTGGTGCTGGTGCTGGAACCTCTCACGGGGTGGCCTACCGGGTTATCTCCTCCGCGGCTCCCGGCGGCAGCGGCGTCATGGCGGACAGCACCGATGCCGGGGCGGGTGCAGCTCCCCCTGTCACCCCCATGATGATGCAGCAGCAGCAATCCTCCTCCCAAGAGGTGGTGCCGGCCAGACCGGATGGCGGCCCGGGCCCCCACGTGTTGTCGTACGTTCCCATCACCACCGCTCCCCATGACGTCAAGTGCCTCGGCGAGTACGGCAGTACGACCTCGGGCACCCCGCCGGTGCTAGCGGCCGCCACCGCTCTCATCGCAACACCGCCCCCGCCACCACGTTCCCCGCACTTCCTTGCCACCCCCCTGGCCGCCGCCGCCGCCGCCCCGGCGACGTCTCACCCGGTCGGCATGACCAAGACCACCCCCGGCGCTGCCAACCCGACACCCAGCCTAGTCCCCCCCGCAGCAGCCGGCGCCTCCCAGTCCACGTCAGCCCTCCTCCCCAACGGCGTCATCGTGGTGGGCGGCGCCAGCAACCTGCTGGGCTTCTCCGTCGCCACCAGCGGCTCGGCCACAGCAGCTGCACCCTCACCCTCTCCCTCACCCGCAGCAGCCGCACCCGCAGGTGGCATCGCCCCCTTTGTGCCGCTCAACGCCTCCGCCGCCTCCTCTCCCCGGCCGCACCCCGACCACCACCACCACCACCAGCTGCTGCAGCACAGCCTCTCCGACCTGTACGGCGGCACCCAGAGCGGCCTGGCGCCCGGAGCCTCCGCGCTGCCGCCGCGGGTGCTGCTGGCGGGGCCCGGGGAGGCTCCCTTCGCCGCTGCTGCCGCCGCTGCTGGCGCCGGAGCAGCCCTACCCGCCCTGCTGCCGCAACCTGCCCAACCTCCTCAACCGCTACCTGTGGACCCTACCGAACAGCCGGAACGAGCAGCAGCAGCAGCAGCCCCCTCTACCTCTACTCCCCTGCCCCCTCCTCCGCAGCCCGCCCAGCCCTCCCGCACCAAGACCATCGCCGTAGCCAGCCACTGCCCGCCCGAGCTGCAGCCTCAGCCGCCGGGCGCCTCCTGGAGCATCGAGGACTTCGCGCTGCTGCGCAAGCTGTACGAGGGGGCGCTGTCGGTGGTGTGCCAGGCGCAGCACCGGCGCTCCGGACGGCACGTGGCACTCAAGATCTACAAGCGCTCCAGGCTGCATGAGATGGAGCGATTCCAGGTGGGGGGGGGGGGCGAATGAGGCTCGGTACACGGGAGACGGTGGTAATACTCCTATGTGAGATGTGTACCCAGCCAACTTACCAAACCGCCCCTTCCCCAAACCCCTATCATGTATCCCCCCCCCCCCAGCTTGCCCGCGAGATCTGCCTGCACATCCGCATCGTGCACCCGCACGTGGTGGGGCTGTTTGCGGCGTGGAAGGACTCCAAGTACGTCTACCTGGCGCTGGAGTGGGCGCCGCGCGGCAACGCGTTCGACTTCCTGGTGGGACGCGGCGGCCGGCTGGGCGAGGAGGAGGCGGCGCGGGTGGTGATGCGGCCGCTGCTGGCGGCGCTGGCGTTCCTGCACTGCCAGAACTTCATACACCGGGTGAGGGTGTCGAGGCAGGGGCGGGGGAGGGGATGGGGCAGGTATGGGGAGAGGAGGGGCAGAGGCAGCGGAGGGACATTGTGCAGGGGAGGTAGGGAAGGGCGGAAGAGGAAAGCGAGGGATAGTAGGGGGGATGCTGTGATTGCGCCCTTGATTGAGCTGGGATGAGGTGGGCAGTGGATTGGTTGCCACCGCCTCGTGTCACTCGCGTAAAACACATCTACTCACGTCCCCCCCCCTTCCCGCCCCCCAGGACATCAAGCTAGAGAACCTGCTGCTGGACGGCGGCTGCAACCTGAAGCTGGCGGACTTCGGACTCGCCATCGACCGCAAGTTCGAGCAGGCCAACACGCGGCTGGGGACGTTCGGGTGAGGCGGGGAGGGGGAGGGAGAGGAGGGAGGGGGGCGGAGAGAGGGGGAGGGGGAGAAAAGGGGAGGAAGGCAGCCGAGCCCCTCCATGCCCGCTGCACCTGTTGGCTGCTGAGCTGCAGGCTGACAGCGTTTCCGTACTCCCTCCTACTTAGTAGTCCTCATCTTCGGACATCCACGCCCCCCCATGAAGCAACTCCTCACATCACCGCTTAGCATCACCACCGCCACCGTCACCCAGCACACACAACCTCTTCGCACGCCCCCGCCCCCTCCCCCCCAGCTACTTTGCGCCCGAGGTGCTGGACTGCCCCCTCAAGAAGAGCCCCTTCGACCTGAAGGACGCGGCGCTGGCGGGCTACGACTCGCGGGTGGACGTGTGGAGCGCGGGGGTGGTGGGGTACGAGGTGCTCAGCGGCAGGGCGCCCTTCAGCGCGTCTTCACCCGCGAAGATCATTCAGGTAGGCGGGGACAGGGGACAGGGGGTGGTGGGGGCAGGTGGGGGCAGCAAAGGTGGTTAAGGAGGGGCAGGGGGCAGGTAGGGCGGAAACCAACTGAATGGAACACTAGATGAGAAAGGAGGCACTGGGATTCCATTCCAGCGGGCAGGTAGGAGCAGCAGGCGAAGGCAGCAAATCTCTTTCGGGTAGGGCAGGGTCTCATCCCGTCATTCCACTCCTCCTTTCCACTCCCTTCCCCTTCTCCCCGCCCCTTCCCCGGCCCCCACCCCCTCCCAGGCCATCCGCACTCGCGAGCTGGAGTACCCGGACATGAGCCCCGAGGCGCGCGACTTCCTCTCCCTCGCCCTCACCCGCGACCCAGCCGCGCGCCCCTCCGCCAAGCAGCTTCTCACGCACCCCTGGATCGTACGGCACTGCGGCGGCGGCAGCAGCGGAGGCATGGCAGCAGGCATGGCAGCAGGCGGCGGTGCCGTGCTGGGCGGTGGTGCGTTCGGGACCGGAACCGGAGTTGTTTTGAGTGGCAGCATGGGGACCAGCAGCAATGGCGGGGTGCCTTCAGGGGGTGTGGCGCCTGGGGTTGGGGCTGGTGCGGGGGGTGCAGTGGGTGGTGCTGGGGTTGCCATGTTGCCGGTGTGGACGGCAGGGGGACTGGAGGTGGGAGGAGGAGGAGGGCGCGGGGAGCAGCAGGCGCAGCAGCAGCAGCAGCAGGAGGAGGAGGAGGAGGAGGGGCTGCGAGCGGCGGTGTGACCTGGGGGTTGCGGCGTGGGAGTTCGGACCCGGGTTGCGGGTTTGGGTGGGGGTTTGGGGATTGAGCGTTAAATGCGTGATTGGGGTTGGGATGATTTACGCGATGTTGGGGGTTGGGTGGGGATTGTAGGAGTGATTGTGTTTGTGCATGCGCATGGTCAGAGGAGTAGGATGTGAAACCAGTAGGGGGGCTGCTAGCTTTCTGATGCGCGGCGGCTTGTCTGCGGCTGGCCGCAGGGCAGCTAAGGTCTCGTACGGCGCCTTGGAAGCTGTAGAAGCGGGTACGGCTTCTTAGGGGCTGCCGTAAGAGGGTCAGGTGTAGGAAACTGCCGTCAAGCAGGTGACTTGGGGGCGGTCGGGTCTAGAGAGGGTAAGACGAGGCTAGGTGACAGAGCAAGGGTGCAAGTTAAAAGAGAGAAGAGCAAGGATTCGGAAGCAGCCAGAGGCTACAGGAATTGAGAGTTGCAAGGGCTCGACGTCAACTGGGGGAAGCGTGGGAGGCTGGGCATTTGAAAACAAGGCGGAAATGTGTGGGAAAGTCGAACTGCGGTTGTACTGGGAGGGGCATCAGGAGCAGTGGGGAGGCGGGGAGGGCGGACGGGTCGGCGGACGCAGCGGCGCCCGCCTTTCGCGTCTGCAGTGCACTGGACTCCGACTCGAATGGTTTCACATCAGTGGATTACAGTACTGGGGGTTGGCGCCGCTTGGCGGTGTTGGCAGGAAGAGCAGCATGCAGGAGGTCAGGGTCGGGGAGGCGCAGCATCTGGTGCACGTAGGTGTCGACCCCGGTGGCGGCGGTGGTGGTGGTAGTGCTGGTGTGGAGGGGTGGCGCGATTAGAGGGCGTCTCGCACCGGGCTATAGCGGTGCTGGTAGAGTTTGGTAGAGGAAGTGCGCGGTGGGTTTGGAGGTACGGTTGGTTAGCAGGGCAGCGTTGGGACGGTGCGTTGGGAAATCAGGATGCGCACGCAAGGGGGGTGCGGGGCTGACGTGCTGTGTCGCCGCCTGCTCCGAATGGAGCTCTGCGTTCGCGCCTTTTCCTGGGCCTGCTCCAGTTTCTTTGTCAGGTTGTCTTGGGGCCCTTATTCGCAGCTTACATGGCACTTGTGGGGAATTCGCTTTCGAAGGTTTCGCCGTGTCGGTGTCGTGTCATGTGTAGGTGCCGCCCGGGTTGTGTTGGTCGCCGCATGTCGCTGCAGATCATGCGCAGCTTGCATCATACCGACAGGGCACCACAGCACACGCGGGGCTGGTTTGCTCGCTGCAGACGGATGCGGTTGGGGGCAAGCGGGAGGGCAGTGGTCCTGGCCCGGTGCATGAGTTGTTGTCTGGCGGCGGAAGCAGATGAGGGTATCAGCGTCCAGGCAGTGCATATGCACGGGACCGCTTGGGGGGTGTGGGCTCCACTGTCGCGTGTGCTACAGCGGTTTGGGAACTAGGGTTTGGAGTGGGGGCGCTGGAGGCAGGGCGCTAGTGAGGGGGCCCGAGGAGGCAGAAGGGGAGGGGGAGCAGCGGCTGGGCTGGGTGAAGGGCGGTGGCAGGCGGTGGTCTGCTTAATTTAACGTGCTAAGCTGGGTTACCGTTTCTGTTCGGCCGCAGCTGTGAAGACGAGCTGCCGGGGATGCGTACCGGTAGTTGACAAGCACTCGGTCAGCTGTAAGTTTCATGCGCACCACAGCTGCTGGCTTTGTCCTATTTGCTGACTTCCCAGGACGGAAATAAAAAAGCGCAGTCGTTCAGCCATGCCCCATGGGTCCAGATGGGTCTATGCGTTTCTTTGGTCTGTAGCTTCGAGGGAATAGAGATTTAAAAGAAGCAGTTTGGGAATCATAAAGAACGATGAAAGACTAGTGACATCAGTTAGGAACGGCGACGACTTGCCGAATGGTTGCAGGGACGTACGCTGAGGTATGCCGCTGTGTGTTATCCTGCTCGTTCCCCTATAATGTCTTTTTGTCTTATAAATACCGGGTCATGCCGGTAATGCATCGCACGTTTGTATTGCTGTCCTCCTTTCCAGTTGTTTTCTTTTGATGGCGACGCTTCCAGTGGATTTTAAAGGTAAGTGAGAACGTGAGATGGGAACTTTGTGCACTTGGGACTGGCCCCACCAATTGCTTATGCTCGCTCGGAATCCCAGCCAGCTAGGGTCCCGCAGATAGCCGTCTTGCAAAGGACGGAACGCGCTATCGATGCAACTGTTAATTATGAGTAGGGATGGGAACAAAAATGAACATAATTGCTAATCAGGGCCGACGTCCGTACCGGTAGAGGGGTAGGACCTAGAGTCGCGACGTGCAAGCATAGCACTGACATTTGAACCATTACTCCGTATAACAGTTGCTCGCTACCTGACCGTCTCGGATATCTGCATACACGATTGACGGGGTTAGCTGACCTGTCACAGCCGTTACCGCTTAAGCTAGGAGGTAGTTCTCATGCACGGAACCCCTTAGAAGGCCGGACAGTATCGGGTTGACATTGAAAACGAAAAAATGTCCTCAGAACTTATCGACGCGGAAACCCTCGCTGCTCTCCATGAAACCATTAATAAGCTAAGGCAGGAGAACGCAAGGCTATCCGCTGATAACAAACGACTACAGGAGGCAAATGGTTCTTCGACAGAAGCCGCGACGGCCGCAACCGCTGCCAGCAAAGCCGATGTGCCAGGATTGCAAGCCCAGGCGCTGGAGGCTCAGGCGACGCAACAATCTTCCCAGCCCCAAGTCCTGGACCGCTCTCAACAAACTGAGGTTGGGACCGCTCCCGGACCCATTCCAGAGCTTCCCGATGCGCCACGAGACATCGACATGGGTAAGGGCAAATGATGTTGTGGCGACCGCGGCAAGGCATCCTGAAAACCTACAAACAGCAAGGGTGTGAGAATACCCAGCTGTCCTGGACTACATGATACGCGGATGGCTGCAAAACTCAACTGTCGCCCGTCTTACCCCTTCCAATCACACCTTCTCCAACCCTGGCTCCCTCTCCCTCCCCTGCCCCGCCCTCCCCGCCAATCCCAGTTTTCCTGACTCAGGAAGAAGAGGCCAGGCTGCTTATGGGAAGCGACGACCACGCCACCGCAGCAACAGCAGCTCAGGCGGAGCCACCGCCGCCCCCACCGGAGCCAGCGACGCTAGGGGCAGCGGCAGCGGAGGCAAGGCGGCAGGCGAAGACGGGGCCGGAGCATGGCGGCGGTGTGCATGCTCCCGCGCCCAGCAGCTACAGGGATGAGGGCGGTTACTGTAACGGCAGCGGCGACACGGGCGCGGAGGGAGCGGAGGGCGGGCGATCCCCGAGCTGTGGTCGCGGCGGTTGGCGCTGTCCGGCGGAGCTGCCCCCCTCCTTCGCGGGCGGGCGGGAGCGGCGGCTGCGGGCAGCCTCAGTGGACAGTGTACGGCAGGCGTCGGAGCGGCTGGGACTCCATGTGGGGTGGGGGGTGGGGGTGAGGGGGGTGCAGGGAGGGGAGGCTGGAGGCGGGGTGGGGACGGAGATGTGAGGGGGATGAGGAAGGCAAGCAGCAAGACGTCCCGAGCCATGTGGCATGGGGAAAGAGGAGAGGTGTGAATCCCGCTCCTCCCTTTCTTCCCTCCACGCCTTCCCTCCGCATCCCAATGCTTCCCGCCTCCCTACCCACCTTCCATGCGGAGTATGTATCCCTATCAATCCCCCCTCCCCCTCCCTCCCCTCCCCCCAGTTGACCCTCTCCGTGCTGCGCCCCTGCGGCAGCCTGGGGGGCCCCCCCGCGCACCTTTCGTACGGCGGGTGGGGCGGGCGGTTGCTGTACGTCTCCCCCGCGTACTGCCGGCTGATGGACACACCCGACATAGAGGGGGCGCGGAGGGCCATGTCGGCCTCGCTGGGGAGCAACGTGGCGGTCAGGTGGGGGGGGAGAGAGGAATTCCCCCCAGGTGGGGTCAAAGACCATACCGAACCATAGGAAGCCACAGGTTGGGGCAAGACAATGGGGATAGGTGGGGGGCGGAGGGGGAAAGCTGACGAGCTGTGTGACGAGGCTTCACCCTGGCTTGCACCATGGGTGCGGGGGGGAGGGAAGGGACTGGGAAGGAAAACCTGCCCTTTTCTTACAACCCTATCTCCATTGCTTTGCCCTGACCTGTGGTATACGGTAGTCTTTGAGCGCCCTCTGACCCTCAGATGCGACAGATCATGGTTCAGATCATTGGTCAACACCTCCTCCCCCCCCAGGTCCAGTCTGATGGGCGTGTTGAAGCTGCTGGTACTGGGCGGGGAGGCGGAGCCCGTCATGCTGCGCTCGGTGGTGTACCACACCGACCGGCCGGCGGACCTCATTTGCATCTGGTGGGTGGGGAGGGCTGGATGGGGGCTGGAGGGCTGGGTGGGGGACAGGATCACCTTCCCCCTTGCCACCTTCTCGCTTGCGTAAGATCCTGAGATTGTTGCGGTTGTTGCGCTTTTTGATGTGCACGCCTTTTTCTCCCTCTTCCCTCCCCCCTTCTCCTCTCTCCCCCTTCTCCTCCTCCTCCTTCCGCTTCCCCCCCTTCAGGTTCTACCCGCTGCTGCTGTACGACATTGAGGCGGAGGAAGAGGGGGAGCAGCAGGAGGGGGGCGGGGAGGGGGCGCAGCAGGGGCAGGAGCAGGAGGGCGGGGAGGGGCGAGGAGGCGGGTGTGCGGGCGGCCGGGGCGCCGGGAGACGACGGAAGATAACACCCAGGTGGGGGGCGGTGGGGGGCGGTGGGGTATAAAGGGGCACCCACCAACCACTATACCCGTACCCCTTGCCCCCCTGCTCCCTCCCCTCTTCTTTCCCCTCTTTCCTCCCCCCCCGGTCCACACGGTCAATTAGTCATTTCCTCTTTCCCCCCCCCCCCTCCCCCTCCCCTCCAGGCTGGCCTACCTCTCCTACGTGGACCTCTCCCCCTCCTCCTCCTCCTCCGCGCAGCAGGCGGAGGGCGCCCTGCGCGACCACATGGGCCTCAAGTACACCCCCAACCCGGTGGCGATGCTGGACGAGGCGGGAGACATCATGACGCAGAACGCAGCCAGCATCAGCGTGCTGGGGATACAAGGGTGGGTTTTAAGGGGGGGGCCAAGCCCAAACCATAGGAAAACAGGGGGGGCAAGGGCGAAGGCGAGTCGGGTGGAGGGGGCGAGGCGCTGGTGCGGGGTTAGGATAGCCAGTAGCCAGTCAGCTAGGGCCGCCTGCCTTGCGCCCCGTGACTGCGCGCTTGAGGAGGTGCCATGCGCTCTCACTGCGCACTTCCCCATAGCCGGGCATTAAGGGGGTTCGGGTATAACTTTACTTCACTCTTTATGTCACCTCACCTTCCCCCCTCTTCCCCCCAGCTACGAGTGCCGGCTGCCTGGCGCCCCCCGCCTCAACTACCTACGCGCCCTGCTGGCCAGCTGCCCGGGCGCGGAGGCCGACATGCGCGCCGCCACCGCCACCGGACGCACCTGGTCGCGGCGGCTGCGGGTGAGCGACAGCCCCCTGCTGCGACACTGGATGCAACTGAAGGCGGGGGAGAGCAGGTGGCACGATGTGCAGGTAAGGTGGGGGGGGATGAGGGAAGGGTGGGAGGGGGGAAGTGACCCACGGGTCGGCGGCCCTGTCTTGAGTGCTTCTGTCCCCAGTTGTGGTATATGCTTCTGCGCACTCACCACCGCCACTGCCCACCATTGCTAGCCTAGTCCTCCCTGCTGCTGCTGCAGCCCGCTTCCCCGACCTCCACCCGCCCCCACACCCCCACTCCCTTCCTCGCCCCCCCCAGATCTCCCGCCTGCGCGACCCGGTGCACCTGACCCCCTGCTTCATCGTGGCGGAGACGGACGTGAGCGCCACCGTGGCAGCGCAGCAGCGGGTGGCGGCGCTGCAGCGGCGGCAGCAGCAGCTGCTGCAGCAGATATTGCCGCAGCAGGTGTGTTGGGGGGGAAGAGGGTGGGGAGGGGAGGAGGGGAGGGAAGGCGGGTAGTACCGGAACTGCTTCTCTCCGGGCGGGCGGTGTAGGGAGGCGGAGGACACATGGACGCATGGAAGAATGCCTGAGCTACGAGCTGCTGAGTGCTGCTGATGCCCTGCCTCCCCCTTCTGGCTTCACTAATTCGGGTTGGGCGGGTCGGGCTGGCTCACATGTTGCAACCCATGTTGACGCCTTATCCCTCAGTCAGTTAGTTGTTTCCTCTTTACCCTCCCCCTTCTCCCTCCTTAACCCCCATGTGCTCGCATGTCCGTGTGTGGTACATGCTGGGAATCATGCGGTGTGCTGCTCGCCGCTGCTGCTACTGCTGCCGCTGCAGGTGATTGACGTGATGCTGGCCTCCTGGGCGGTGGAGGAGGCGGAGGGGCAGGAGGGGGAGCAGGAAGAGGGGCAGGAGGAGCAGGAGGGTGGGGGTGGTGCTGCGGCCCCTGCCCCCTCCTCCTCCCGCTCCTCCCTCCCCGCCCCCCTGCGCCCCTCCCTCTCCAACATCCGGCTGGTGGGGGGCCCCGGGGCGGCCGCCGCACAGCAGCAACCCGCTGACACCGCTAACACCGCCACCAACACCAGCAGCAACACCAGCAGCAACACCAGCAGCATGTCCGATGCCGGGAGCTCCTCGCTTGCCTCAACCGACTCCTCCGCGCCCCCCGCTTCTGCTACTACTGTTAAGTGGGGTGACAGCGGCAGCGGCAGTGGCAGTGGTGGCAGTGCCGGTCTGGGCTCCTACCTGACCATGCTGCTGCCGGACGGCACCTCGCAGCCCCTGGACCTGCAGCTGGAGGGGGCGGGGGGCGAGGGGGAGGGGGGCGGCAGCGGCAGGGGTGCAGCTGCGGGGGCCGGAGGTGGTGGCAGTGCTGGTTGGCTTGACAGCGACAGCGACAGCGCGGTGCAGCTGAGTCGGCGCGATGTGATGTGTCTGGCCACCTGGCACCCGGAGGTGACGGTGCTGTTCGCGGATAGTGAGTGGGGGGGGGAGGGGAGGGGGGGAAGGGGGGAGGGGAGGGGAGGGGCAGAAGGGGTGTTGGGTTTAGGGCTATGGCGTCATGTGGGGCGTCATGGCGGGTCGCGTGTGCAGCGTGTGTGCACCACCTGTCTGCTAGCCCCTGTCGGGGGCAAAAAAGAAATTCCAAAGTGTGGTGTGTCGGGGGCAGGGGGTGCGGCAGGAGGAGCCGTTGAACATCCCCTGCATCCCCTGCCCCCCCGCCGCCTCCTCGCTCCCACCCAGGACACCTTCACTGCAACCCCCTCCTAGTCCGCTACATTCCCCCACCACACTTTGGAATTTCTTTTTTCCCCTCCCCCCTTCCCCCCCAGTCAAGGGCTTCACCACCATGTGCCAGCAGCTGCACCCCGCCCGTGTGATGCTCTTCCTGGACTCGCTGTACAACGCGTTCGACCTGCTGCTGGACGAGTGCGGCTGCTACAAGGTGGAGACCATCGGAGGTAGGCGGGAGGGGGTGGAGGCCTCCGGAGGTGGAGGTGGGGGTGGTGATGATTGCAGGTAGGTAGGGGGTGGGCAAGGATGAGGCAACCAGCTAACCGTGTGGGAACTAACTGGTACGGCTGCAGCGTGGTGCAGGTGGGGCGGGGCGCTGAGTACGATGGATGGGGGCTGCCCCCTGGAGGGAGGCTGTGAGCTGCCCCTGACATGCAGGAGCGCCGTATTCCTCTTCGCCCCCTCGCGCCCCTCTGCTGCCTCCTCCTTGACCCCTGCTCCCACCGCCTCCCACTGCCTCCCCTCCCCTCTCCCCCCAAGACTGCTACATGGTATGCGGCGGCCTCTTCGCCCACACCAGCACCACCACCTCCTCCACCTCCACCACCTGCCCCTCCTCCACCTCCTCCTCCGCCTCCTCGCACCCCCCCGCCTCCACCCAAGACCCCGCTCCCACCGCCTCCGCCACTGCGTCTGCCACCATCGACCTCAACCCCGAGAAGGACCCCTCTCCCCACCACCACCACAACCACAACCATACCTGCCACGCCACCACCCCCGCCACCCCCACCACCCCCGCCCCCATGCTCCTGGGCGGACACGACCCCGCCCATGCAGCCAAGGTCCTCCGCTTCGCCAAGCTGATGGCTGACGTGGCCTCCCGCCTGCGCACCCCGCTGGGGGAGCCGGTGCTGCTGCGCATCGGCATCCACAGCGGCCCCGTCATGAGCGGTGTGGTGGGGCGGCGCATGCCGCGGTTCTGCCTGTTCGGGGACACGGTCAACACGGCCAGCCGCATGGAGAGCACGGGAATGCCCTGTGCCATACACGTCAGCGAGGTGAGTCGGGGGTCAAAGACCATATCAAACCATATGAGACCATATGGGAGCGGGAGGGAGGGAGGGAGGAGGGAGGAAAGGGGGTGGGGTTGTTGGGAAGGGGTAAGGTGAGGGGGGTGGGGCTCCGCCCAAAAAAGCGCAGGTGGGTGGTTGGCCGGTTGCCCTGACCTAGGCTGGTTGTAACCAACCCATGCAGCCCTTCTCACCCGCCTCCATGCATCTCATGCCCTTTCTTCCCTCACCCCTGCCTCCCCCTGCCTCCCCCTTCCCCTTCCCTCTTGCCCCCTTCCTGCCCTCCCCTTCCCCGCCCCCTGCTGCCCCCTCCCTCCCTCCCCCCCGCCCTCAGGCCACTCGCAACCTGCTGCCTCACGAGCCCTGGCTGCCCCACGGGGGGGGCATCGAGGTGAAGGGCAAGGGGACCATGCAGGTGGGGGCACCGCCGCCGGGGCGCGAGGTCCCAGCACCTCACCACACCACACAGCACCCGGGTCAGGCACTCGGGGTCAGGCACTCGGGGGGATGTTTGTCTGCTTCCACAAGCGTTGCTGCTCTCCCTCTCGCGCGCTGACTCCCTGCAGAGGAAGGTCTCGTGGCAGCGTGGAGACAAATGGCACACTGCACACTGCACTGCATGCGCTTGCCGGACAGTACCTCGCATTGTCCCGATCGTGGGGGTGGGGTGGCCCTCCTCTCTGCGGCTGCAGGCACCCAGTGATGCGCCACCCTCTGCCTGTGCGCGTCCCGCTCCCGCTCTTCCCCCTCCCCGCGCCTTCCGCCCCGCACCAACAGCCCCATGTCCTCCTCCCCCGCCCCGCCTTACGCCAGCCGTATCACCCCCGCCGACCCCACTCTCCCCCCCTGCCCGCTCGCTGCCTCAGACGTACTTCTGGGGTGGCGACCTGGCCTGCATGTGCCACAGGGCCCGCGACCGCGTGCTCACCACCCTGGCTGCGGGGGCTGGCAAGGAGCTGCGGCAGCAGGGGCAGGAGCAGGAGCGGCAGGAGAGTGAATAGGGGAATTAGGGAAGGCGCTGGGGGACCGGGGCTTGGGTTATGGGGCTTGGTGTTCGGGCGGTGCTTTGAGCCAGCTGGAGTGGAATGGCATGTGATTGCGATTGGCCTTGCGAGCAGAGCGTGTTGGCTTTCCTCGGAATTTCATGTTCGGTACATCGCACCCTTGGTATGCACGCGTGCAGAGAGCCGGAGACCTCGAACACTGTGATCTGCTGTGATACGACTTTTTTCGTGCTCGGCCTGGGCCTGTACTGTGTCCCCTCCCCTCCCCTCCCCTCCGGGTGTGCTGTGCGGCATTGTTTTTGCTGTGCCGAGTTAGAGGGGTGCTGCGGTGGGGTGCTGCGGCCACATGCCCTGGAGTGCTGCCTTCGATAAAACTGTGTGTGCTGCTTTCCCTCCGGAGGCAGAAGTAAAAGGGTATTCCTCTTTGCCGTACAATATAGTACTGCAAGGCATTTTGTTATACAGGCGGCGCGCGTATAATATCTTGCTCGACACACCATGCGTGTATTTTTAAAACCGTTGTTGCAGGCGCTGCTGCGGGGGTACTGGCACTGCGTGCGCACCTGCCTGCGTGCATGTGTGGGGCTGCTGCTGCCCCGCTGTCGAGTGTATGAGCAGCTGTCAAGACGTGCTCCTGTGACGGTATAATCGCTACTGGCCTTTACTCTTCTTTTGTATTTCTGGCGTCGACCGGTGTGTGAAGAGGTGGGCGGGTGGGTGCGACCCCGACCACAAGGAGAGCCTTTGGCACGAGTACGACACGGCTCCTTGCCCGAGTACAACACGGCTGCTTGCGTTTCCTTGCGTGAATGTGATGTACCCTGTGATGACGCGTCGTTTGCCGAGTTGCCGTGATTGGGGAGGGGGCGTGAGGGAGGTCTGCCCCGCTGCAGCTGCTCCTGGGGCCGCGACGGGATGCAGACATCCCGCCCAGGCGCCCGCCCAGGGGCTAGGGCTGGTAGCCTGCGACGTTTACCATTCCGGGATTGCTGGTACGGTACATGGAGAGTTTTTTAAGTTAAGGAACTGAACCACATTTCATGTCTGTCAGGGTGGATGCGTGTGTGTTGCTAGATGCATTGGACGCAGCTGGCGCACGTAGCTCGCCCCCAGGGCGTGTTATGCGGCATGTTACAAGTCCCCCAGCGCTCCGCCACAACCAGGCAATCGCCAGCTACCACTAATTCCCTATCGCCCATGCCGGCACCGGTACTCGTCTTGGCAGGAAGGACGTTGCCAGCTACCGTTACCAGGCACGCGCTCCTTCCGTCACGTACCCGTGCCGCGCCGCAACCGCATCCACAAGGCAACACAACGCCGCTGCACGCACCGCCTAGTGCTCCCCTTCCACCCACAACACAACCTCGGGCAGGAGTTACCCCTGCCGCACGTCCCGGGCTCCTTGCTCTCCTCCCTCTCCTTGTCGGAAGAGGCCCCAAGGGGACTGCAAACAAGGTCGCCCACACTCCCCCACATCCGCATCCATACCAACCAACCCCCAGCCAATCGCCGCAGCTGCTGCAGCTGCTATTGCTGCTGCTGCTGCTGCTGCCAGGCCGAAAAGAATTTCGCTCCGCACACATCAACAACTGCGACAGAGACGGCAACCAAGGCAACTCCCTCCTCTCGAATTGTATCAGTAGTCTCAAACACCCTGCCCACCCGCCAGCCACAGGCCACAGCACACGGAGCACACGGCCAGTTTTCTTAACACACAGCGGTCCCCACCTGAACACAGTGAGGAGGCGGGCCTTGGGGCCAGTCTTGCAGGTGTCAGCACCTGCCCAGCTGTGCTCCCCTCTCCTTCCTCCTCCAGGTCCACCCAGGGTACGTGTGTACGTCATGCGGCATGCAGCCGCTGCTCTCCCAACCTCTCTCAAGTCCCAACCCCCCCCTGGACCAACTGAACTACAGCAACACCCCTCGCCTCCTCCTCCTCTCCCTCTCGCTCCTGTCGCTCCTGACTCCCCTCAGGACTCGCACGCACCGCCGCTCTCCACCACACACTCCCACACACACACACATGCACCCATCTCGCGGCCAGTTTTCTTAACACACATGCACCCATCCCTCTCAGCTCTCCTCGCCCTCGCCCTCGCACGCACAGAGTCTCTAGCCCCCGCCCCCACTTCCCGAGCACCCCGCATACCGGTAACCAGCACCCATGCATGCATGCATGCACGTCGTAACGCGGTACGCACTCCATCCCGAGCCAACAACGGCGCAAACGGATTGGTTTCGCTCTCTAACTCCGAGCCATCAACGTTTCCACCCCACAACCGCCCCGCGCCCATGCACCCACGCAAGCAACGATACACACAAGCACCCCCCGACCCCGTCCAAGGTCCACCCCCCGCCCCCCGCCCCCACGTGATACCGCTCCCTGACACCTGCCCGGGTGCGCTCCGCCCCATAACACACCCGGGGCTAGCTCATGCATGCCAACGTGTCTTGCCGTCACCCCTTACTAGCCTGCCCTGTGCCTGGCCATATACCAAACGCGTGCAAGGTAAAAGAGCTCCGAATCACCCCCGCCCCGCCCACGCTCTACCACAAACCAACCAACCAACCCCCATCCTATCCCCGCCCCGCCCATAACTCCCTAAACCAGTGGTACCTCCCTCCCTCTCCTACTTCTCCCTTACCTCCTTACCTACTCCCCAGTCAACCGCCAGCACGTCCCCCCTCCTCCCTCCCCTAACCCCCCCGCCACCACTCCTCCGCTCATGTGCCTTAATACCGCACCCTTCATCCAATCCCGCACCCCCCCCGCAAACCTGCATCCACTCGCCAGGAGTTCCCGAGGGGGACGGGCCAATCAAAGCACGACCTTTCCTTCGTCTTCCCCGCCCTCTCCCTCCTCAGCACCGCTCACTGCATGGGCCGGGGCATGGGATGGGACGCTTCACTTCTCAATTACGCCTCCTCCCCCTCCCCTCCCTCCTGTATCTTCCTCCCTCCTCCCTCACTGCTGCTGCTCCTCCGCCGTGGCATACACGCAAATGCAGTCGTACAACCCGCCCCCGAACAGCTTCCGCGCCAGCCTCTCCGTCTTGATCATGGCCAGCTTGAGCACATCGCAGGTGAAGGTGGCGTGCAGGTTGGTATGGATGGCGCGACCCATGCCCTCGATCACCAGCAGGTCCACTCCCACGCACGCCTGCGGGGGAGGGGGGAGGAAGGCGGGAAGGGGGGAGCAGCGGGGGTGGTGGGAAGGGGCGTGCAGGGAAAGGAGTTGAAGCATGGGGACACTGGATGTCGAAAGCATGAAAAGAGGGGAGAAAGCAGTTTGAGGCATGACAAGGCGAGTGGGGCGCAACTTGCACGGCATGAAGGATTCCTGCCGCCCCCTCCCACCACCAGCCCACCCTTCGACTCCTCTTCCCCATTCCAATACAACGAGGTGGTTTAAGGGTCCTCTTCCCCATTCCAATACAACGAGGTGGTTTCCTCCGTACCGGCAACCCTCCTTCCCTCCTCCGCCCCTGCTCACCTCCGCCAGCCTGTCCGGCACCCTCCTCAGGTCCAGGCAGGGGCTGCCCTGCCCGTTCGCCACAACGTACAGCTTGGGGCCGGGCGCGTTGACGGCGGGGTCTGAGGCGGCTGCATGCCAGGCGGGGGGCGGCGGTGGGGTGCCAGCTCCCTCCGAGGTGGTGGGTGGGAGGTGCGGGTAGGAGTGGGCGGAAGGGCGGCCGGCGGGGATGGGAAGTGCGGCGGCGGGGGGGTGCGAGGAGGCGGGTGCGGTGGGGTCAGGAGAGGGTACGGGTGAGGCGGCAGCAGCGGCGAAGGGTGAGGTGGAGGGCTTGCGCTGCATGCTGCTGGTGCTGCTGCTGGCAGTCCATGCAGCCGTAGACGACGGGCCGGCCCCCGCTCCCTCCCCTGCTCCTGCCGCTGCTGCCGCTGCTGCTGCTGCTGCTGCTGACGGCTGGGGCTGCTGCAGCTGCAGCTGCTGTGAGAGCGGCGGCTCCACAGCGAAGGAGCGCCGGCCGGTGGGGGTTCCCGCGCCTCCGCTGGAGGGCGGCAGGGCGGAGGAGGTGCGGCGGGCGGGAGTGAGGCCCGGGTAGGGGGGCACGTGGCCGCCCGTGGCGTGCTCCACCTGCGGAGGCAGCGGTTGGGGAGGGCGGAAGGCGGCAGCAGTTGAGGAGGGCGGCAGCAGCGGATGCGGAAGAGGGAAGAGACAGGGAAGAGAGACGCAAAGCAAGCACCGAGGTGCGCTTGCTAGCATGCACTGGTAGGGGAGCTAGGGAGGTGCGCAAGCACGGTATTGCACTCTTTCCCCTCCCCTCCGCCTCCGCCTCCTCCCCTCCCCTTCCTCCCTCCTTCCCGCCCCCTCCCGCTCACCCGCACCGCCGCCTCCCGAGCCGCCCGAATGATGGGGCACAGCTCCGCCACCTGCCCCAGCAGCGCGCGCAGCTCGGGGGCGGTGATGTCGTTGATGGCGGGGAGCGAGTTGGCCACCAACACAACCTGGGAAGGTGGGGGGGCAGGGGGTTTAGGGTGCAGGTTGCAGGGGCAGGTGGTGAGGTAGGGCCGGGACGTCCTCGACCGTCAGGGGCACGCGTTCACCAGAGGGTTGCCAGCGTCCAGCATCCGCCCTTCTGAACTAAACAACGCGATGACGTCACCTGCTTTCCCTCACTCCCCAGCTCTTCCCCCGTTCTCTTACCTCGCAGCCCATCCTCAGCAGCTCCCTCGCAAAGGGCAGCATGCCCAGCACCGCATCAGCGCCGCTGTTGTCAATGAACATCATAACGCGGCGGAAGGGGGGGCGGGTGGGGGCTGCGCGGGGGGCGGAGGCGGGTTGGGGGGGGGGTGTACACCGTTGGGCGTGGGTTAGGAAGTGGGGTGAAGAGCAGGCTGGGGGTGGAGGTGGGGTGGAGGGGTGGGAGCCATGCGAAGAACAGAGCAAAAGGGTAACGGCACATGAGAGGTATGAGAGATAAGATACGCACACATACGCGCGCTCACACACGTCCTCGCGGCCAGTTTTCTTAACAACCCACACATGCTCTCGCAGCCGATGTCGAGCAGCACCACCCCACGCGATTGCCTCCATGCCTTAACACCGTTCAGCAGCAGCCGCCGCCGCCGCCGCCGCCGCCGCAGCAGCAGCAATGCGAGTCCTCGAGTCACCCTTCCCACCCTCCCATGCCTCCCATCCCATCCGCACCCCCTCCCTTTCCCTCACGCCTCACCTCTCCCCGCCGCCTCCGCCCCGCCCACCGCCTCCAGAATCCTCGCCGCAAAGGCATCAAAGTTGTCCCGCGCCCAGGGCCGCTTGGCCAGCTTCAGCCGCGCCGACCTGTAGATGTCCAGAATGGTGCCGTCGCGGTACAGCGCCACACATGCCTGGCTGCCCCAGTCGAATATGTTGGCGGCCAGCACCCCCTCCACCAGACTCAGCAGGCGGGCGGGTAGGGGTTCGGAGTCCAGCTCGCGGAGGAGGTCGGGCAGGACGGCCAGGGCGGCGCGGTTCTCACGCTCCTTCTCCAGCCTATGTTGGTGTTTGGGAGGAGGGGACGGAGATGTAGGCAAACCATAGGTTAGGGGAGGGGACTAGTAGGGATGCATATTCCGGAAAGGGGAGGGGAGTGGTGGGAAAGGGACAGGACGCATGGGAGGCGGGTAGTGCGCACAAGCTGACGTGTAGGAGTGCATGTAGAAGGGAAGGGAGGGGGGGGTTACAGCGTTTGCGGGGAGGATAGGAAGGGTTTCCCCCGCTCCCATGGCTGGCTCACATGTTGCAACCCATGTTGACGCCTTATCCCTCAGTCAGTTAGTTGTTTCCTCTTTACCCCCCCCCCCACCTGTACACGTCCTCGAACCCAAACTCCCGCAGGCACTCCTCCCGCATGCCGAACAGCTCGCCCAGCCCCAGCGCGCCGTAGCTGCCGGGCTCCGAGGTCATGCGGTCCAGGTGCGCGGAGAAGGCCCTGGGGGCGGGGGGGGAGGGGGGGGAGAGGGATTAGTAGGGATACATATTCCGCATTAGGGGGAGAGGGAGGGGGCGTTGAGGCGTGTGCGTCTTAAGAGGGAACCGCACGGATGAGAGGCAACGACGCACAAACAGGCGAGGAGGGGTCCAGGTGCGCGGAGAAGGCCCTGGGGGCGGGGGGGGAGGGGGGGGAGAGGGATTAGTAGGGATACATATTCCGCATTAGGGGGAGAGGGAGGGGGCGTTGAGGCGTGTGCGTCTTAAGAGGGAACCGCACGGATGAGAGGCAACGACGCACAAACAGGCGAGGAGGGGTCCAGGTGCGCGGAGAAGGCCCTGGGGGCGGGGGGGGAGGGGGGGGAGAGGGATTAGTAGGGATACATATTCCGCATTAGGGGGAGAGGGAGGGGGCGTTGAGGCGTGTGCGTCTTAAGAGGGAACCGCACGGATGAGAGGCAACGACGCACAAACAGGCGAGGAGGAGTGCGAGCATGGGTGACACACTACGACACTAGAGAGAGAGGGAGGCGCACCACCTCAGCCCACCCACCCCACCCGCCCCACCGCACCTTCCAAACGCCTGCGCCCTCCGCTGCGCCGCCTCGCCTCCCCCCTCGCTGGCCGCCGCCTTCTCCACCACAGTGGGCACCTGCTCCCGCAGCACCCCCACCCACCAGCGCAGCTCCTCCTCGTCGCCCGTGATGTTCAGCGTGTTGGGCTCGTAGCTGGGGGGGAGGGGGGGGGGGCGGGTAAAGGGATTGATGTCAATTGGGGGAGACGAGGAGGCAAGGAGGGGTGCCGGGGGTGCAGGAGGCGGGGGAGGGGGGTGCGAGGCTGACGTCTGGTGGTGTACACACGGGGTCTAACAACAGCCCCTTACCTCGCCACCAAGCCTCCCCTGCTGTGTTCTTACCCTCCCCCTTCCCGCCCCCCACCCCCCAACCCCCCACCCCCCACTCACCCCGCCGGGTCCGCCAGCAGCGGGAAGGGCTCCAGTGTTGGCGAGTAGTGCAGCACCCCCAGGTGCAGCGACATGCGCTGACGCAGCAACCAGCCGCCGCAGCAGCGGTCGGGCGGGGAGGCGGCGGACGGCACCTCGCCGCTGGGGGGGCCGCCGCTGCTGCCGGCGCCACCACCACCACCCGCAGCCACAGCACCCACGGACACCCCGACGGGTCCTCCGGCTCCGGCTGCTGCTGCTCCCAGCGAGCTGGAGTGCTGCAGGGAGGGAGGTCCGCTCGGCCCTGCTCCCCCTCCGCGGCCGATCAGACCTGGCGGCAGCAGGGAGCCTCCTCCTCCTGCGCTGCTGGTGCGGTCGGAGGAGGGGGCGGTGGCGTTGCTAACGGTAGAGTCGGCGTGCAGCAGAGGGGGAGCCGGAGGCTCCGCTGCCCCTGCCACCTCTCCTCCCTCCGCTCCCGCTCCCGCCTCCGCAGCCCCCGGCTGCTGCGGCTGCTGCGGCTGCTGCGGCTGCTGCTCGTCCGACGCGGCTGCCGCCACGAACTTCTCCACCCAGCTGACCTTCTCCTGCACCCCGCGGATGGCGGGCCCCACCACCGCCCCGCCCGTCAGCGGCGCCCCCGCGGAGAAGCGCTCCACGAAGTGCGCCCGCACCTGGGAGGGCTATTGGGGGTGGGTTGGGGGGAGGCAGGGGTACGGAGTGAGAAGGTTGAAGAGGAGAGAAAAAGAGAGACGGGGGAAGAGAGCGGCAGCGCATGCGCCCCCCGACCCCCGGCGAGTACGACCCCGGTGGCGCTCCACTCCGCCACTTCAACCTCATCCACCCAAATCATATCGCAAGACATCCCACCAACCCACCCCTTGGTATTTCCTGTCCCCCTCTCACCTTCCTGTTACCCCCCCTTCCTTTTCCCCTCTCCTCACCTTCCTTGCCGCCGCCTCCCTGCCCCCCGCCCGCCCCGCCCCCCTCAGCGGCATGGGGTGCACGGTGAGGAAGGCGCCCACGGAGCCCAGGAAGCCCTCGTGGCGCAGGAACATGGCGGCCATCTCACCCTGGCGCAGGGGGGGAGGTGGGGTAGGGGGGGTGACAGGGAGGGGGAGGAGGGAACAGGAGGGACCATGCCTTCACGTTCGTGCCAACCAGGAAGAAAAAGCAGGTGACGTAGCTGCAGCAAGGGGAAGGTAGGCAAGGTAGCAACACCCGTACACCAGCAGTGCTTGCCAGCCAACATCCCCCCCTCTCACACGCGCCTCCCATCCCCTCACCCCCACCCCTTCCCACCTTGGACCAGAACCGAATGGCGTAGCTGATGGTCTCCATGGTGTACGGGTGTCCCCGGATGAAGAAGCCGCCGAAGAAGATGCGCTTGATGCCGTGCCTCACCGCGTTCATGTGCGCCAGCTGCCCGATGTTGTAGGCCACCATACGCACCAGCGCCAGACACATGTCGGCGGGCGCGTACTGATCCAGGGTGCGGTCCTGGGAGACAACCTGCAGGGGGGGAGGGGAAGGGAGAGAGGGGGAGGGGAGGTGGGGGTGAGGGTTAGAGATAGGTCAAACCGCAGGAGACCACTGACTAGGGGATGGGAGAGGGGAAGGGGCAGGGAGGTGTCACATGCACTGCGACACTAGGAGGCCTCCTCCCCCCGTGGCTCCCACGTCCCAAGCCACCATGAGTCGTACCTACTCCCCAGCTACTCTCTCCTTCGCCATCACCCCCCCTCCCGCCCCCCTTCCCCCCACCTTCCCAAAGCTGCTGGCGATGGTGGTGGCCGACAGCCCGATGGACGCGTAGTCCCGCCCGCCGTAGATGTCGCCCACCAGCATGTCAACCTGGGGGCGAGGTGTGTGTGTTAAAATAACTGGCCGCGAGGCGAAACGTACTGTGTGTGTGTGTGTTCAGAAGGGCCCCCCACAGCAGCATCATTTGGACCCTTGCACGAAGCGGCTAAAAAGGAGGACGGGGCAGGGCAGGGTAAAACACACACCGGCACGGAATGCCCCTGCAACAACAGCTGGAGCCCCACCCCCGCCCCCAAACCAAGTCCTTACAGGCCCTTACAGCCTCTCTCTCCCTTCCCTTCCCCCCACCCCAAGGACCCCGTTGGCCCCCCTTGCTTCACTTTTCACTTACTCTCCACTCCCCCCTCCCCCCCCCGTAGCGTCACTCACGCTGGAGTTGTCGCCCTGCATGCTGAGGTCCAGCATCTCGTCGAAGTTGGTGAGCTGCGTGAGCAGCCTGCACAGCCCCCAGTAGGTGCCGCCCCCGATGGAGGAGCCGCTGACGCGCTCGTACTGCTGGTCTCCGGCCACCTTGACCATGCTGACACCGCTGCCGATGTTGACAAGCAGGTAGGGGTACAGGTCGGAGTCGGCTGGGGGAGGGAAGGGAGGGGGAGAAGGGGTGAGTGATGAGACCGCTTGTTTCCAAGATGCCGAACATTGTGGCACGAGAGAAAGCCTTCTTCTTCTTCCCCATGCAATACCGCGGCGCCCAACACCCAACACCCTGTGCCCTACACCCCACCCCGCCCAACCTCCTCGTCATGAGGTTCGTCAGTTTCCTGTTCTCCCCTCCCCTCCCCTTCCCCCCCCGTACCGTTCGTGGGCACGAAGTTGGTTGCTCCCGCCTCGTAGGTGAAGGCCTCGTGCTGGATGGCCTTGAGCAGGAAGTTGCAGCCCGCCACAAGGCAGCTCATCTCGTCCTCCTTCTCCAGCACCAGACCCAGCCGCTCCTTGAAGGCGTCAGAGTACTTGAAGGCGCCGCCGCCTGGCTCGTGAGCGGGGGGGCAGGGTGGGGGAAGGGGGAAAAAGTAAGTGAGAAGTGCAGCAACTGGAGTCCCAATCCCATATCCCGTCACATGCAGGGGCAGGGGCGGGGGCGGGGGAGGGAGAGTGATGGGGAAGCGCACGACATGCAGGGGCGGGTGGGGCCCAATGTGCGGGTGCGGGAGGAGTAGCGGCGGGGAGGCAGCATCCCTTGGGTGGGGGGTGTTCCTGCCCGCCTGGCCCAGGCCCTGGCCCCTACTCCGCTGTACCCGGTCGCATGCCGCAGTGCCCTGCATGCCCCCCGTCCTCACCCAGCACCCCCCCCCGTCTCCTATCCCCATTGCTTTGCCCTAACCTGTGGTTTCCTAGGGTTTGGTGCGGTCTCGCTACGCACCTCCCCCCCACCTATGCAGTGGGTCATCATATATATTTTTTTACCCCCACCTATGCCATCCAGTTTGTCAGTGTTTCTTTATTTTTACCCCCACCTATGGGGGGGGAGGTATGGTCTTTTACCCCCCACCTATGGGGGGGGGAGGTACGGTCTTTGACCCCCCACCTATGGGGGGGAGGTATGGTGTTTGACCCCCACCTGTTGCCTTGACCCGCATCTCCTTGGTCCCATTGCGGCCGCAGTGGCGGTGCAGCCCCTTGGCCTCGATGAAGTCCATGCACTCGTCCAGACGGTTCGTCTCGAACTTGACGAAGTGAAGCCTGCCTGGAATGAGGCAGGCAGGGAGGGGGGGGGGCAGGAGCAGATCAACCATGCATGGCGGGTGGGGTGGGGCGGGGTGGGGGGTTCCTGCAGCTGCGTCCTTGCTTGGCTCCGTCCCCACCCACCCACCCGCCTACCCCGGGCCTGACCGGATCCACCCCGGCCTGCACCCTCCACTGCGCAATGCCTTTGTCGTACACGGGCAGGAGTGCATACGTTCTCCTGCTATTCCCCAAGTCCCCACCAGCCGTTGGCCCACTGCCCAGGGCTTTACACTGTGTGAGGCGGCCTGGTTGCCCCCAGGCAGCTGCAGCCATTGCTAGGCCACACCACACAAGCAGCTGCGCTGTGGCTTGCACGCATGCAAGGCAGCGAAAGCCGCCAGCACTTGCCACTGACAAGTGGTTGCACACAACCGTTACAAGCCATTCCTCCCTCCCAGGATCTTCAGATTCCAGTCCTGAACTTACCACCGCGCTGGGAGTTGTTCTGCGGTGACCGAGCTACGCCGTTGCCAGCGCACGGGGAGCTTGAGGGCGTGTAGCCATCCCCGTTGCCGCCGTTGTCAACTGGGTCAGGTGAGAAGTAGACCAGTTTGATGAGAGATCCTCCAATGTCAAGCGCAATATGACTGACGTAATCGGCATCCTGGTTTGGCAGCTGAATGCTCGGAGCCTGGGGCGGCTGGTATCGGCGTGTTCGGGTCTCTGCAAGGAAGCATCGTGCCGACGGGTGTGGCAGCCGGCAAGTGAAGCAGAGCGTAAGCGACAAGCAATAGCATAGCAATATAGAAAGGTTCAAGATCCATCAAATGATCACATGCCATCCTTCGTCGCTGGCCTACCGCTATGTGTGCCATCGTCAGCGTTACGAAGTTCCTCAATGCTAGCGCCAGTAAAGTCAAGTTCTGAGTCCATCGTAACACAGTATTTCAAGCACCGCGAACAGGCGAAAAAGGTCAAAGCAGGCGAACTCGAGGGTCGGCTAACGAGCAAGGTCCATTTCAGGAAAACAACGTCAAGCAACGAACAATAAGTGTATACAGTTAAGGAAGGTCCGCCTCTTGCTAGAAGAAGCACTGTGGTGTGACGATGGGCATGCGTTGTGTGTTGGCGCTGTCGAGGGAAATGTAGTACATAGCGTGACAAGGCTATTACGGTCGCGCGATTATGTCCGACTTCAGAAGTTTTATTACCCAGAATACCTAAAGCAACTGCACAAGGAAAGCTTTGCAACAAAGCATCTTCCGATTCTTCAACCCCCGCTTGACCGGACAGGCTGCTGTTAGGCATGTACGACGCAAGCACGGTTAGCGCCCAGCCACCAAATGTGTTAATTGCCTTTCTTCCCCTCTGCCACCAAGCATTTCAACCCTTCACTTCACCACACAGTATGAATGCATGACCGTTCACAAGTAGAGAACAAGGGAAATGAGTTGTTGACCGCACCGTACGTACCCATGTTTCTTCACACACGTATTGTGGCCGCCGCGGCAACCGGAGAGCGACAGCGGTCTTGACGTATTCGCTCCTTTAGCACGACACCAGCTTTTGTGTCAACTTCCTTCCATGCGAGGCATGTGAGAGAACCGCTATGTTGCCATCGAAATGCAGGTTAGGACAACAGCCCGCTGATGGTGTTTGGGTGCGTGAAGCAACTGCTGAAACACGTTGGCCCGGACGGACTGGAGCGTGTCCTGGTTAAAGCCGAATGGTACACGGCTGTGTCGGATAGATCACAAGTCTGCGGAAAGCTCCGGTGCCCTGTCGTAAAAAGTACGGCCGTCCAGCGTGACGAGGGGCCGTGGTGCATGGCTGACGTGGTCGTGCCATGGGCGTGCTGGCCCGCTATGTATCCGTCAGAGCGCCGAGCAGATACGCACTTTGCAATGATTGCAAGGCATTGGCACGTTACGCGCCATCTGCGCCCTTACCCTGTGATTTAGTCCTAGTGTTTAGTCCAGGTGTAGTTGCGTGTTTCCTTGGGTACGTGTGTGTATATATTGCCGCGGCTACCGCAGAGCCACTTTATTACAGACTTTGCGCACGGTTCTATATGCGATTGGTTGAGGGTGGATGTGGGGGTTATGCATGCACGGTTGCGTGCCTTGTTGGGTACGTGCATGCACATGCATGTTACATGGGTGGCTTTAAGTACATAGTTCGGAAAACAAGCTTATTGGGGTATACAAATACCTAACATGCCTAAAATTTTGCAGTTTATTAGTGTACTCAGCGACCTGCAAATTTTGTAACCTGGTAACCAGGCTCAATTGAATACCAGGTCTGATAACAATTTACGACGGTCTGGTAACCAGGCCTAACAGACTTTACCAGAACAGATAGGCCTGTTTACCAGGCAAAATATTTCATTACTAGCTGGTTACCAGGGCTGCGTATGCTATAGGGCATGCTCCGTCAGCATGGCCGCGGAGGCAACGCGAGAACAGACTCCACAGTGTCACGCGCCACTGCAAGGCCCCCACACACAAAAATTACGGCTTCGTGCGTTGCCTTGTGGATCTCAATACAGACTAGTTCCCTACATAACATGGAATAATGTACTAACGGGTGCTCATACAGTAACCTCGCTACTGTTCGAAATTATGGTGCCGAGTTTCTACAAGAGCTGTGATGCAGCTAGCACGGTAAGAGATGGACCCAACCGTTGGCACGGGCGCGGCTGGCGCCATCACCGGGCTCTAAAGCTTGACAGGCAGGGTTTGAATGCGACACGTCGCCTGTTGTGGGCCTTGCGGTGCACCCAAGCCGTCTTGTATGGGAACTGTGATGTTTGAGGAAGTTGGTGCCGGTAAAGTTGCTACTCCTTGGCTCGCACCGTCCTCGTTTGGAGACCCATAGTAAAGGCACATACATAGTACATGTCCATAGTAGATGCCGCATCCCGTAAAGGACAAGGCGACTGGTAGCCAAAAGCAAGCAAGAATGCGAAGGTTACAAGACCAGCGTTCTAGGTACGGGAATGACCCGCAAGGTCAGGGCTTCGCCTCGGGCGTGACGATGGCCTGAAACCGACCAATCAACTGGAATTCGTCCGCGCATATAGTAGCATTGTACAGCTTAAGTTGTGCATCTATCGGGATTACTCCGTAGCTGTCTGCAGCATCTCTCGCATCTAGGGCCGTTCAACGGCAACCAACGGCAAATCCTGCAAGGAGACCATGACTCGACCAACTTCTAGTCTAACCAAGAAGCAATTCTTTTTAATATTTTGCCTAACCTTTGCATCGAGTATACACCGGAGCTGGTCCTCAGCAGAGAGCAACGCTGTTGAAACATCAGTAACTGGCGCAACAATTGAGCGATCCCTTAAAGCTCTTTACGAAGACAAGTCTAAAGGCACAGGAAATGCGTTGGAAAGGCAACGGTCGTCTGCAAAACAGTTGGAGCGCGGCCAGGGGGCCATTATACCAATTCCGGCCAAGATCAGCAAGCCAAGCTCCGTTCCGCAGCTGACCGTGGTTTTGGTCACCATGTTTGACCACCTTCCTCGCGCGATGGCTGCCCTGGCTGCGGCCTACAAGAACCTGGCTCCGGAGCTGGTGCGCGAGTACATCGTGGTGTGCCCGCAGGCGGAGGCAGCGGTGCTGGGGCGCACGCTCAAGGCGCCAGACAGCACCGGTGGGGCCCGCTCGCCGCCGCTTCGCATCCTGTCGGACCAGCAAGCCCTGGGGTTGACGCTTGCAGAGACCAAGTCGGTGCCATTCTGCGGCTACAGGTGGGGGTGGGAACGGAAGAAGGCGCGAGTGCGAAAGCTGCGGCTGTCATGGATTTTGAGGCCCCTACACCCTAGGGTTTAAGGTCCCTGCAGCTGCTGCTTGTGGGTCAACGAGTTGCGGGCAGAGCGCAAAGGGGATAAGAGGCAGCAGGGAGTTACTGTTAGTGGGTCATGAGCCTGACACAACAGCCTCTCTGCAGCTGCCTGCGACATTGGTTGCCTTTACCCATGCTGCCGCGTGCTGTCGTGTGTTGCCTTGGTTGTGCGATGTGTGCTGCGATGCGCCCTCACACCTCCCTCTGCCTTCGTTGCTGGCATCGTGCTGGCCTGACTGCAAGTGCCCTTCGCCCTCCTTGCAAGCGCAGCACCCCCTCCCTGCTGCAGCCCTGTACCGCATGCGTTGTGAACAGCATGCGCCCTACCAAAGGCCCACAACCCAGCATGCCACAAGGCCCACCGCTGATGCCCGCTTACGGCCCTCATGTGGCTCATGACTTGATCCTGTGCACGCAAGCGGGAACCATAGCACCCAGCACTGACGCGAAGTAGCCCCATCCCGGCCCAGCCTGACGTCTCGACAGTCTCCTACAGCGCAGATCCCAACCGTCTGTGCCGCACGCCCCCTGCCCTGCCCTCCCCGCACACGTGCATGCAGGACGCAGATGGCGGTTAAGCTAACGGTATCATCCCACGTCAGCACTGACCACTACCTGATCCTGGTGAGTGGGAATAAAGCCACCACCGGTAAAGCCGAAAGCGGTAATGGGCGTGGGAGACCCTTCTTGGCAGCCGACTGGGGTTCAGAGAGGCTTTCCTCCCATTAGCCTGTCTGCTGGCGCGGTGGCGAGCTGCCCGTGGACCAACGGGAGCCCATTTCCCTCCTGCCATTTGCCCTTATCCCTTAACACTCAGCCCCTCAACCTCTCCGCATCCTCGCTCTCCCACTCCTCTCCCCCTCCAGGACAGCGACGTGCTGCTGGTGCGCCCCGTCAACGCCTCCGTGGCGTCCTGGCTCTACCCGCAGCCGGGCAAGTCCGTATACCACTCCGACGTACGGCGGCGACACGCCCGCTGGTGGCGCAACTCCGAAACCACGCTGAAGCTCAGCGGCTGCGTGCCTAGTGCCCCGGAGACGGAGGTGTCGGGCGTAACGCCTGCGATCCTGAACACGGCAGTTGCCCGGGCGGTGGTTGACCGTTGGGCGGAGCTGTTTGGGGGGCGGGAGAAGGGCGTGATGAACATCCTCAGCAAGCGGGGACCCTAGTGAGTTGGTGTTGGGCGGGGGCGGGTGGTGGGTGGTGGGGCTCAGGAGTAGGATCTATCTGGACTACTGAAGGCAGCGATACGATGCAGCGGGAACCGACAGGAAGGGAAGTCAGGGAGTCTGGATGCCCATGAGAGGATTACGACAGCTTTGTATGGGCTCGCGGTTATGGGGCTTGTGCTTCATCGCGTTGTTCACCGCGTGGCATGTATGGATGCTTGTCGTCCCTGTATGATGCTTCTTTGTTTCCTCTCAATACACACACGTACCGGCTTGCGGCCATTTTTCTGAACACCCCCTCCTTCCTCTTCTTCTGCTTTCCTCCTGCAACCGCAGCTGGACCGAGTACACTTCGTACCACCTGTTGGCTTGCCACATGGGCGGATTCGATAAGGTGGGTGCGGCCGTGGCTCTTCCGTGCAGATGGGTCGCTGACCCGTGGGTCACCTTGCGGCCGGCCACCCGTAATAGTTATGTACCGTTCCATGACAACCACATCCTGCTCCCTAAAACTAATTACAAACACGGCCATTTTGTTGCCACCCCACCCAATATGGTAACCCCACCCCTGCTTGCCACCCTGCCACCCTGCAGTACCACTCCAAGCCGCTGCCCGGCGCCCCCGCGCTGTACCAGGGCTACTGGCAGCGCGGCACCACCAAGGCGGGGATCGACGTCTGCGCCAACTGCCTGTTCATGGTGGTGCAGGACCACATCGGGGTCAACATCCGGGACGTGGTCAAGTCACTGGACACGCTGTTTGATGCCAAGCAGTGGGAGTGAGGTGATGTGGAAGATGCTGTGAGGTGTTGTTTGGGCGATGCGCCTGTTGTTAGTGATGACCCCTGGAGAGGTGTTGCTTAGGCCTTGTACGCGTTGTGATTGCGAATGTGGGGAAACGTGGATGATGATGCATATGAGGACGCGCGTGGGTAGAGAAGGATGAGGTCGTTCCGAGGTGGGGGAGATCAAGTAGGGCATGCAAGGGGGTTAAAGGAGCGACTGGCTGCCATGAGAGTGATGCTGTTGTTGCTAAAAGTGGAGGGCATGCAGAGTGCTGGGTGCTGGGTTGGATGAAGTGTCGTCGCTGGATGGTGGCTGCTGTGGCTGTTATTCTTTTGTTGCTTGCGGGAGGCTTAGGAGAGAGAGAGACACGTGTATCGGTATTGTGTATCGCATCATGTGGCTGTGCCAAGCGCTGTCAGGCGTATTATACGATAGGCATTGCTTCAGTGTTCCTGCCTTCTTCGCATGTATGCACGTACCGGCAGTCACCTCAAGCCTGCTGCGTACTTCCTTGTGTTCATGTACTGCTATAGCTTGCTCGTTTAAGATAAGGCCCGTAGCTTGGGTGCCATTCGCCAACGGCCACGTACCCCTATTTCGCACACTGCTCGTGTATCGCCTTCGCTGCTGTGATGCTTGCATTCTAGGTATGTCCCCTAGGTTGCCATCACTGTTTACTGTTGTTGTTGAGGCAGGAGAAGGGGCTAGGGATATGTGCTGGTTGTTGATGATAGGACATTCTTGGAGCAGGTTGCGGAAGGTCACTCAGGGTGGGGTTCGGAAGGCCTTTGCACGGTGGTTACGGCGGGCGAGTACCAGGCATGCAGCGATTGAGGATTTGGTGCATACAACATGCAAATGCGCTGCGTGGCCTTGCTTGATTGGCAAGGCGCCGTCGGCTCTTTAGGGGGACAAAAAGTAAGGACGCCATGTTCTAAAGCGACTGAACTTCGACCGACTGCTGCCAGGAAACGTCCCTGGAGGTATTGTAACGATCCGCATAGTACATCCGTACCAGTCAGTGGGTAGCTGGATACGGAAGGTTACATGGCGAGGGGGACATGCAAGGTGATGCACAGGGGCCGGCTGCGGCCCCATGCGTGCGGGAAATCAGCCTCCGCGCCATTTCCACGCCGCAGTGGCAACACCGTAGACACGTCCGACTGCCAACAACGGACACTTTACCGTATCATCATCGCCATAGGAAGATGTTGCGATTGGGGAAACGTACGCGGCGCCTGCAATATGCCTGTCAGCTAGCCCGCTCCAGTTACCACCAGTCTTGGACATGACGACTCCTGCTGCTGCTGCAAGTGCGAAAGCCCAGACTTCTCGGAATGAGCTACGGCCCGCCTTTCAAACCGCAGCAAACGTCCATCTGTGTGACGAAACCCTTGCTAGCGCCCCTCTTTAACGGTACCATCCACACCACCTGACCCCATGTAAGTCCAGGGCTGTCCGAGTCCACGAGATGCCGCATCATGCATGGTTCTAACAACAGTCCCAACAACAGGACCATGACGCCCCGAGCAACACCCCTCGCCGGATCCAAATCCGCGACTGCTGCTCGCCAGGCCCTCTTCCTCCTCACCGTCATGTCTGCATGCTGCTGCAGCTGCTGTTGCCAGGGATTGCCCGTACAGGGTCACGGAAGCCAACCGTCGTCCGTTACGCCAACGGCCATGGCTGTGGCCACAGAGGGGCGTGCATTAAAAGCGCGCGGCGGCTCAGAGTTCAGCAATGATGATAAACAGGACATGCAGAAACAATGGCCGCGTGTAAATAGCGCCGACTCCACAGCAGCAACGATAACGACGACAACACCGGCGGTGCTGGACGCCAACACAACTGCCGCCGCCGCCGTACCCGGCCCGCCCGGCTCCGTTCCGCAGCTGACCGCGGTTCTTGTGACCACCTTTGACCACCTTCCTCGCGCGATGGCTGCCCTGGCTGCGGCCTACAAGAACCTGGCTCCGGAGCTGGTGCGCGAGTACATCGTGGTGTGCCCGCAGGCGGAGGCAGCGGTGCTGGGGCGCACGCTCAAGGCGCCAGACAGCACCGGTGGGGCCCGCTCGCCGCCTCTCCGCACCTTGTCCGACCAGCAAGCCCTGGGGCTGACGGTCGAAGAGACCAAGTCGGTGCCATTCTGCGGCTACAGGTGGGGTCAAGCGTGTTGGTGGCGTCCAGCACACAATCAGCCGTTGCCCTGCATGTGGTGACACCGTACGGTGTGTCCTGGGCTCGCTGCCCCCCCCCCACCCCCCTGCAGGACGCAGATGGCGGTTAAGCTGGCGGTGTCGCAGCACGTGAGCACCCGGCACTACCTACTGCTGGTGGGTGAACCAAACAACCCTGCCGTGGAAGCCAGCTGCGAGGGGCCGCACGGCACAAATCCGGAATCATTTTGCCGCATGTGTTGCCGGCCACCATCCCAGCCATACCCCATACAGATCAGCTCCCGGGTGGACGAACGGACGGAAGGATTGCGTCAATAACACGCTGACAGCAGCCCTTTCCATATACCGTCTCATGCGGTGCACATGCTGCCTGCATCACCCAAGACATCCGCATCCTCGCTCTCCCACTCCTCTCCCCCTCCAGGACAGCGACGTGCTGCTGGTGCGCCCCGTCAACGCCTCCGTGGCCTCATGGCTCTACCCGCAGCCGGGCAAGGCGGTGTTCAAGCCCGACATCCGCAGCCGACACCGCAGGTGGTGGAGCTCCTCGGAATCTACGTTGAAGCTGAAAGGCTGCCTGTCGGATGATCCCGGCACGGAGGTGTCGGGCGTAACGCCTGCAATCCTGAACACGGCAGTTGCCCGAGCGGTGGTTGACCGTTGGGCGGAGCTGTACGGCGGCCGAGTGAAGGGTCTGCAGAAGGTCCTCAGCAGGAAAGGTCCCAGGTGCGCCTGCTGCAGCTTATGCCTTAGGTATGGGCCCCACTTGCACATGCGGCAAGTAACGTTCATGCATACTGTATATGAGCAACTGTCCGATTGCATTGCCTTTCTATCTTCTTGCCGGGAATCCTCCGCAGGTGGACCGAGTATACTTCGTATCACCTTATGGCTTGCCACCTAGGCGGCTTCGATAAGGTGGGGCGGGTTTGTCTTCGTTATTGCGGCTTGCCCATTTACGCATGTGAGTCCGACCCACGGGTCATCATGGGGCCCAAAGCTTAACATGCGCTTCGCCAACGCCACCCGCTACTGCTATCCTTGCCGTCTGACTACCGATATCCCAGTAGCCGGCGGACAGTTAAGATGCGCAGCAAGTGCCCGCAACCACTCGCAACCCCTTGCCTGCCTGCCTGCCTGCAGTACCATGCGCGGCCGCTGCCTGGCGCCCCCGTGCTGTACGAGGGCTACTGGCACAAGGGCTCCACGCGGAACGGCATCAAGACCTGTGCCAACTGCCTGTTCCTGGTGGTGCAGGACCACATCGACGTGAGCATACGGGAGGTGGTACACGCGTTCGAGGCGCTCTTTGATCTGCGGGGCAGCAGCCGCCGCCGCGGCGTCTGATGGTGTCCTAGCTTGCAACGCGCCAGCCTAGAGTGATGGTGAATAAGGAGAGCAGCAGTGGTGCTGCCGGCATTGGTGAGAACAGCCTGTCAAGTTGCCGATCTCCTGATCAATGGTGCTGCTCCCAGTTGTGACTGTCCGCACGCCTATACACGCTCGCTCTTCTGCAATCAGCTGTTTGTACCGTACAACACACTTCGTGACTAAGACACATGCTTATGGCCGTGATCTCCCCTGCTTGTGATCCCTATTGCGCACATGCTGCTGTACCCTCCTTGCCGCACCTTCCCGTGCAACGCCGTGATCCACCGCTGAGCATGAGTAGGTTGCATGATGTAATGCGGCCCTTGCCTAGATGACAATGTGCAAGGTAGCGTGACAGTTGATGTTGTTGGTTGTGTGAGATACACGTACGGGGTAGGAGGTCATCCTGGCGTGGCTGGATGTTGACCTGGGGAAGCCAGGTATTATATACCGTACAGCCCACGAGCGTAGGACTCGTTGGTGCTTCTGCTGTACACTGTTGGGATGTCAGTCAAGGGTGCGTAAAGGGTGTTCTAGACGAAGTCTCTGCGGTGGCAGGTGTTTTCCAGCTTCTAGCAGCTACTGCAGCATGTTTAACTGAGATAAATGTGTCACAATCTTGAACGCCGGACGCTGGGTTGCCCTGGCGATGTATCGCAGCTGCACACCTTTATTGCAGTAGGGCATGCTTGGCAACATGGCGGCCATACACAAGCAGTCCGCAATGTCGCATGTTGCTCATATATCCGACAGGTACTACAGGCGCAATTTATACTAATTGTGAGGACTCTGTTCAGGAGAATCATGGGTGGGGTAGTGGACATGGCAGCGCACAACTGTTGACGGCGCCTGCGGGATGCGTGCTGCCAAGTGGCCATTTGTTGGCTTAAAGAGGTCTACCGGTGCGAGCAGCTGTAAGTGAGCATGTACGTGTGGAAGCATTATATATTGTTGCGTACTAAAATAATCAGGACCAGATAGGGACATGACCCGCGAGGCAAAGGCCTCGCCTCGAGCATGATGTTAGACTGAAATTAAATGTGTATGTTTATAGATGGTATACAGGTCGAGAAGTGCGGCTTACAGACCAGAGCTGTCAGCAACTTCCGAGCGAGGGCCGTTGAACGGCAACCAACGGCAAATTCTGCTGCAAGGACGCCATGATTCAACTAGCCTCTGGCCAAACACAGAATCAGGTTTGGTTGTTGTTGAACTTAGTATTCGCATCGGTCATAACCCGGGGCTGGTCCTCAGCCGATAGCAATGCTGCTGGGACATCAGTAACTGGAGCATCGATTGGGCGGCATCTGAACGCGGGTTACGCAGACAAGTTTAAAAGCAATATAAATGCGCAGAAAAACCAGCGGTCGTCTGTCAAACAGTTGGAGCACGACCAGGATGTCATCATCACCTTTGACCAGCTGGCGAACACCAGCACACCAGGATCGTTTCCGCAGCTGACCGTGGTTTTGGTCACCACCTTTGACCACCTGCCTCGCGCAACCGCCGCCCTGGCTGCGGCCTACAAGAACCTGGCTCCGGAGCTGGTGCGCGAGTACATCGTGGTGTGCCCGCAGGCGGAGGCAGCGGTGCTGCGACGCATACTGAAAGCCCCGGACAGTACCAATGGGGCCGCCCGCTCGCCGCCTCTCCGCACCTTGTCCGACCAGCAAGCCCTGGGGCTGACGGTCGAAGAGACCAAGTCGGTGCCCTTCTGCGGCTACAGGTGGGGTCGAGCGGTTTGTTGGGGTCATGGTGACCTACCTTTAGACAGCGGACTTGGTTTTACATGGCACATGGCGCACGGCCTGCGTCTTGCTACGTGTCCAGTGACTAAGCCTTATCAAGTTACAGGCCTACGGCCATGACCCCTTCATCCATGCTGGCGTCCAGCCCCCGCACACAAGCAGCCGTTGCCCTGCATGTGGTGACACCGTACGGTGTGTCCTGGGCTCGCTGCCCCCCCCCACCCCCCTGCAGGACGCAGATGGCGGTTAAGCTGGCGGTGTCGCAGCACGTGAGCACCCGGCACTACCTGCTGCTGGTGGGTGAACCCAACAACCCTGCCGTGGAAGCCAGCTGCGAGGGGCCGCACGGCACAAATCCGGAATCATTTTGCCGCATGTGTTGCCGGCCACCATCCCAGCCATACCCCATACAGATCAGCTCCCGGGTGGACGAACGGACGGAAGGATTGCGTCAATAACACGCTGACAGCAGCCCTTTCCATATACCGTCTCATGCGGTGCACATGCTGCCTGCATCACCCAAGACATCCGCATCCTCTCTCTCCCACTCCTTCCCCCTCCTGCAGGACAGCGACGTGCTGCTGGTGCGCCCCGTCAACGCCTCCGTGGCGTCCTGGCTCTACCCGCAGCCGGGCAAGGCGGTGTTCAAGCCCGACATCCGCAGCCGACACCG